GACTCTATATTGTGACAATCAGGGAGCCACATATGTCTGTGCTAATCCGGTATTTCACTCTCAAATGAAACACCTACCTTGCATTGGACTTTTTCTTTGTACGTGAGCTAGTTGAACGTGCGCAGTTGCGTGTCTCTCATATTTCCAATAAATTCCAGATTGCGGATGCCCTAACCAAACCGTTGGGTAAATCAATGTTTACAAATTTTCGATCCAAGCTGGGAGTTTCCGACGGAACCTCCATCTTGCGGGGGCGTATTACGACATAACTTACTCCTACGTAGTACATGCTACTCCGTATTATATTAATATTATTTGTACATTTGTTTAATTATTCATGTAATCATTATCCTCTGTATCTAGCTGATAACTATTGCATGATTGTAGCTACGGTCGTTTAGTAGATAGTCTTATCCCTTAGCTATGGGATTTATATATACATGTAACATACTTCGTTGTATCGTCAATTCAATATATGCAAAGTATATTTCTCTACAATTTATTCAAATTCGATAAATCTACCCACTTTTTGACAAATCTGAAAATCGTTATTCACGGCAGATGTGAACTTAATTTTCAAGACTGGATCTGCGAACTGAACTTAATGGTTGTGGTGGTGGAAGATGGTGGCGGTGAATGGCGACGCTGGTGTGGCGCGTGGCTGTAGCTTAGGCACCGCCAACAAAGGTAACAGGTAGCGCCGGCGAGGGCGGCAGTAGGCGGCTCTGGTGAGGGCGGCGATAGGAGGCAATCGTGAGGATGGCTAGAGTGTTATTGTTGAAATTTAAGGTTTCAACATTTTAATTTCACATTTTTATTAATAATTCAAATAAAACTTGATTAGGGGCATATATGTACAAATAAGTGATTTTCAGCCTTATGGAACATAGCCAAATAGCAAAGACTGAGGCTTGGGGAAATCAAATTAAATGTTGATGCAACTGTAGATGAAGCCTGAAAATGCTTGGTGTTGGGTAGCACGAGATGATAAAGGCACTTTGGTGAAGGTAAGGAGTGAAGCTAAAAGGGCGGAGTGGTTCCCAATGGAGACATAAGCCATAGGGGTTTGAGTAGCAATTTTAGAATCAATCAAGGAAGGATGGTAAAAAGTGGAGATTGAAACAGTTGAACATTTGGTGGCCCATGGAATTCAAGGAACTGGAAGCCCTGTCAATGGCAAATCTAGAAATATCATGTATTGGGATTTGGGGGTACGTTTCAACTACTCTCATCGACTTTGTACAGTTTCATATGTAATTTTTGTAATAAATATCTTTGTATAAAAGAAACTAAACAATCACTCAAAAATTGAAAGTCGTTTATCTAATGCAAGTTAGTTTTTACTGTTTCATACTAGAAAACCATATTCCAAAAGTTGCACTACAATAGCCAAAGCCAAAATAAACCGTAAAAGTGTATATACCAAAGGATGCAAGAGCTTTGTTTTGTCTAAAGAACTAAAGATCACCAATCTCTTGATGCGCTGGCACAACGCTGGCACATTATCAATGTAAATAACACTCTAATAAAACACGGACTTTAATAAAACAGTAGTAAACATTTCCTGACATTTATCCCACTAATGTTGGTGGTTTGTCTTTCGAATTTTCAAAAATGTTAACTACTTAACCTAATTGTAGTAATTACATTAGTGATTAGAATGTACTCTTTTTGTCTCACTTTGTAAGATATACTTTTTTTTAGATTGTCCCATATATATGAACAATTCCTGAATTGAACACTTCATTAACTTTTTATTTTCACACATTATATATTTATCTATCATTTTACTCTTTACGTTTTATCAAATCATCTTATTCTTTCTTATTTTTTTAGAGTTTACAATTGTGAAACAATCACATTTTTCAATATTTTCTTAAAACACATTATTCTTTCTTACGCGTATCTTACATTATGGGACGGAGATAATAATTAATTTTATATTATAAAAAAAGTTTATTTGCATTACTATATAGTTATTTTTAAATGTTAGATTGTTACTAAATTAATTTCAACCTACTGGGTACCATACTACTCCGTGCGTACTAAGATTTTGGCTAGTTAGGATAACTTAGTTTGCTTATTTATTACATCTAGAGTAAAAAAATACATCTCTAGCTAATTAAGTCTTGATATTAGAGATGTGTTTATCTCTAGCATTTTTTTGTCAAGTTTTAGTGTGGGGAGTTGGAAGAGACAAATTAAATAATTAAGTTCACAAGGATTTAACGAGGAAGTGTCTCTTGGCTGAAAGGGATTAAACAACCTCAACCTCCCTCGGAGGAATTTGAAACAACACTAAAACCTTTGAATGATTACAAGACAAACTCTCCTAGTCTATCATTGAGCGCGCCACCCTGACGAGCACTTTGTCGTAGTGCGTCAAAATAAATTTGATACTAGCACTTTATACGTAGTATAGGTGAAGTAGAGTTCGTATCCACAGGGAAAGAAATAATTCTCTTTTTATGAAACTAGTAAATAAAAGGGGGGTTTTGGGATTGAGTGATTTAATTTAATTAAACACTAAGATAAACGACTTATATGATTTTAATTAATGAGATAAAAGAGTCTTGGTTTTGCTACTTTCCACTTGTTGATATATTTAGTCGATCCTTGTTATATCTATAACTTATCCCCTCTCGAATACTCAATCGAGGAGTATCTCCAATTCATCGAGGGTAGTTATTAACAACGACCGTTCATTAATAATCCTTACTTGTGAAACTATCAACGATTAACCATCGGTTCGTTGATCGTTTCTAATAGTAATTAATGTCGAGATGTTAACTAATTGTCATCTTAGCAGTACACCTCAACATTAATATAGAGATAGATTAAGGGAAGAATTAATATTCAAGGGAAGAAGTTAAGAAAATAACTCACAACTTTAATAATCAACAAGCTTCAAGAGCAACACCAAGAAATGGAAGTTTAGCTCCTCATTTGGAGACTAAACATGTTAGAAAATATAAAGAAATAGCTATTCGAAACTGGGCTTAAGAGAGTATGCTAATTGGTGATTTAATGGAAAGAAAAAGGGGTGTATTTATAGGTGTTTGGAGCTGCTAGAGCCATTTACCCGACCGGATTTTTGAGAAACCCGATCGGGTTTCTTGAGTAAGTGCCTGGAACCTTCATCTGTCACATTATACCCGACCAGCTAAATGATTTATCCGATCGGGTAAAAGACAAATCTTTGCTAAATCTTCGCCTGCACGTTAAATTGCCTCCAAATCATATTTGATTTTCGGATCAAGTCAATACCCGATCGGGTAAATTCTTTACCCGACCGGGTAAATGACTATTTTTCCAATTTTTCACTTTATCTTGTTCCCTTGAACTTTTCTTGACCTTTCTAAGGATCCTCTTGATGATCTATACCTAGTTAAAGCTCAGAATAGTCCTAATCTAAACAAATTACAAACAAAATAGGAAATATAAAGTATTACACAAAAAATGTGTAATTTTCCAATCAACAACAAATAAAACTAGTTAAAATTACAAACATAATACTAACAATTCTATACTATCACACCCCAACTATATTATCTCTAGGAAGAGTCATGATTCGCTACCTTGCGAGCAGGCCATGCGATTCTAAGCCCGAAGGCAGCGTGATAATGTATAAGCTCCAAAATATGTTAGGGATCTAATGATGAACATAAGTTTAATTTTTGGTCCTATATATGAATACATGTCGATCATCTTTTAGTCTTGTATAGATAATTAATGTAACTCTTTTTACTTCTACTTGTTACACTTTCTAAAGCCGTTTGGCAACACTGATTTTCGTCTTATCAGGCTTATCAGTTGATAGAGTATATTGGGCTTAGACCCCATGGACTACATACTCAGAAGGTCAAAGACATCAGATGGACATCCACGTCGCACCCTTCAGCCTGTGGGGCCCGCAACGGCCAGAAACAAAATGGCCCAGAATACTGCCTTGAGGCCAAGTAGACCGCATCGGCCATGGTTCACATCAGCCAGGTGGTTCGCATCGGCCAGCAGGCCCACATCGGCCAGGGTCTTCCCCTGACAGAATGTATTTTCTTATCTTTTTTTAAGCATTGTACCCAGCCCATTAGTGGCCCTATTTCACCCAAAGAAGGCATGGCTATTGTAATGGGCCTCCTAAGCCCATGGTTAGGAGCCCAAATCCACATTTACTCCTATAAATAGCCCCCAAGGGGTAGTTATAGGGGGGTGAGAAATATTAATTGGTCACTTTCTCTCTCTAGCTTTCACTTATTTCTAGAACTAAATACTCTATCATTAGCCAACTTTTTCACCAAATACTTAATTTTTGTTTTCGGGTGCTGAATTGTGTAATAAGCAGAAAAAATGAGGTTGGAGTTACTTTTCTGGCTGTATTGGCTGAAGTTACTGTAGATGACCATATTATCGATTTTTACATATAATGTTTTTGTTATTTTATTAATAAAATATATTTTAAAATTATTTTTTCCATAAAAGTGCAGAATCAGCTAATGTAGCCACTTTCAGCCAAAACTTCATAAATTTCAATAAAATTATCCAAAACAGCCGATTTTCGTACTACCAAACGGGCTCGTATTCTATTTATCTTAAAATCCTCGTGAGGAAACTTATATATAACGACTAGTCGACAACTATAGTTTCCAGGAAGATTGAAATGTACTTATATATGTACCAGATTTCAATAACTATAATTTCAATATAATAATTAAAACAACGATAAAAAAATTATTATAATTAAAACAATATCATATCACTTGTTTAGTGTAACCTTAGAATGTTTTTACTTGGAGTGTAATCTGTCCAAACTAGACCAAATCATACCAGAACATACAAGACTAAACTTAGATAGTTATAAAAATACAAACAAATCACACCAGACTAGCAAATTACAGCTCAAGTAAAGACATCCTTAATGGCTAAAAGGTAATTATAAATTAAAAGGTAATTATAAATTAGAGAATATGTTATAAATTAAAGAAAATGTAATATTACTTATTATAAATCATGTGTTTGATCATTTTTTTTTTTGAGAATTCAGGTGTTTGATCATTAAAAGGTAGAAATACAAACAATATGCCGCATCATCGATCCTAATAGGACTTGGCTTAATTATTACAGGTAGGATGAGAGCCGGCAACTCGCGATCACAACAAATTAAACGAACAAAGAAGACGAGCAATTCACAAGAAGAATTCAAGATGCATATATGCATGGAGTATTGTATTATTATTACGGAGTATTATTTTAGTATGAGGTGAGGTAGCTGTCAAGCCGCTTGTGAAGATTTAATGCCGCAAAGAAGACGAGGAGCAGGAAGAAGATGGAGGCGGCGAGTGAAATTCCAATGGCCGCCGCCGCCTGGCCGCAGAATCTATCAAAGACGTTACAGACCTTGTTCCACCGCACGTGCGAATTCCCCTTGTACCCCATCACCCCAATAGCCGCCGCGGCTCCGCAGCTGGAAAACAACAGCGCCACCATGGCAAGATCGAGGGTCATGATCATTAAAGTCGTCGCGGCGGAGCCATTTTTCTTTTTCCTGTTTCCCAGTGTGAGGACTAAGGATACAGCCGCATATGCACACGCTACTGCGTTGACCACCACAAAGTACCTTCCAAAACAAAAGAAATGGAACCACATGATTGGGCGACAAATGCATAGTACGGAGTATTTGTTTATAAGGATGTTTTCTTTTCGACTTATTTCAGTCTCACACCAGATCAGACCAGACTTAAACATACCAGACCAAAACAGACCAGACCAGATTTGGACAGTTATAAAATACATAGAGACTAGACCAGACCAGACCAGACCAGACCAGTTCAGACCAGACCAGAATTAAACAGACCAGACCAGACCAGACCAGATCAGAGCAGACCAGATCAGACCAGACCAGACCAGCAAATTTCAGTCCAAAATGAGAGTCCCATATTTCCTTTTCGAGCTGTCCCAAAATGATGGTCTTGTTTCCCCTTTTGGAAAGAAAAATGTGGTCAACATCATTTCACTTTATTATACTCAAATCTCAACCACAACTTTTACCTTTTCAACCACTTCCTTAATTTTTGAGCCCAAAAAGTATGAGACTCTCATTTTGGGATGGATGAAGTAATTTTTTACGGAGCATTCTCTTCTGATTTAATGCATAAAATGTGTAATAATTAAAATAAATAGGTTTAAATTGTTTTTCCAACTAAATTGACTGAACTTATGATAGAGAACCATTTTAGTTAATTTTTCATACTCTCTCCGTCCTATTTTAGTTAGCCAAACTTGATTTCAATGGTGTCTAACTTTGATCGATTATATATTTATATACAGAAATATTGATAATATGAAAATGATTTGAAAATGTTCTTTGTAAAAATATTATCATAATTGTATAAAATTATTAAATTTTACATAATTACTTCATATATTAATTAAAATAACTGGTCAAAATTTATCATATTTGAATAGAAAAGTAAAAAATGACTAACTAAAATGAGACCGATGTTAGGAGGTAGCATAACTTTCTTCTTCATAATTTTCTCTAATAACTACGGAGTACTGTGGAGTACTATCTACACAAAAAACAGATATGAAGAGTTCCTAAAATCCTTCCCGGTTTAACTTGGCACACCTATTAAGAAATTGGAATAAAGTAAAAATGTATAATTGTGGTTAGTTGTGTAAGAAAAAAGGTAAAATAAATGTAAGACACAAAATGAAAGTACTCCGTAGAGGATAACCACAACGTCGTCCCTTGGCTTAATTTAAAACTACTTTTTTTAAGTTCCTTTTTGTTTATATATTACTCCCTCTATAACCAAGATATTCTCACTAAATTTGAAAGTTGTTAGAATATAAATAGTGAAAGATATACAAATTATTGAAGATTTGATGAGAATATAGTAGAATAGCATGATAAAATGAAAAACAAATTCAAAAAAAGCAATTGAAATAGTGTATTATTATCTGATACTTCGGGTATTATGATAAAATTTATTTAATTATGGTTGAAAAAGAAAAGTTGGAAATGTATACATACCATTAATTACTACACATCTATGTTACGCTAGTATTTTTGTTGCATTCGGCAAGGATGCTCTGAATATTAGCTTTTATTGTTTCAAGAAATGAATACTACATAACAATTAGAACATGAGTTATTGAGTTGGACATTTCAAAGAGACAAAGAAATTAAAAATAAACAAAACGTATCGATAAGATTGGTTGCAACTGCATGGAACATATAACGTGTCAGCATGGTGCTCCTAATTAATACGGAGTAAGATTTGAATGAAATATGGAGTATATAATAATTTGATGAAAATAAACAAAAGATATCGATCAGACTGGCCGTAACCATGCAACATTGTTACGTGTCAGCATGACATCGGCTTCCTAAATTAAAGAGACTGAAGACGTGTACTGTAATAATTCCTATATATTCCTAACATAAATTGTTTAAATAGGAATAAAAACGTTTTGAAATTCTAAAACACAAGTATCATATTTTTTTATTCTCTGAATAGGAGTAATCTGCCGATTCAAATTTGAAAAAAAAATGCCTCGTTTAAAGCCTTGTAATGCCAAACTTGGCAGAAATTTACTTTTATTCAAAGAATAAAAAACATGATACTCCTATTTTAGAATTTCAAAACGTTTTTACTATGGAATTCTCTCTATTCCTAAATGAAAACACCTGTCCAAATAATGCACACAAAAAATTGTTCACCAAAGAATACCATGCATTTCTAATCTAAGGAAATCACTTCTATATTATTTTTATATTATCAACGTTTTTGAAGCTTTATAACTATTTTATTGTGTTACGAAATCAAGAAAAAAGTACAAACTCCATCCTTTTAGATAGCTAATTTTGACTTGTCTCTATGGTTTCATTTTATCGGATGCCCCTAGCTAAGGGATGATTTTGACTTTTCTAGTCAATAATAATATATGATGATTTGTACGCTTTCTTATTTTTAGAATGTTTTTCTAGTAGAAAGAATGTTGATATGATAGTCAAACGTGCATTTATGTAGCACCTACCTATAGTTATTGATACTTGTAATTGGCTAGAATTTTGTTGAGCTATTATTATCTACTTCTGATTAAAATATATACTTCTTATATGCACACCTATTATTATTGAGAATAATAAAACTGTTCCAAGAACTTTTGGTGAAAGAAATCAAAAAGATTGGGCCAATTTATTACATGTTCCAGTGACAAGTGAGCTAAAACCTAAACACATTAAATATACACCCGTTAGTTCATTTTGTTTTAGTTTTGCAGATCAAAAATAGAATCCATATAAAACCAATAATTAGGAAAAGGGAAAATTCCCGTATTAGAAATAAATAATTTTAAACTATGAGTATTATATTTGTTTCTCTATAGGAATCAATTATTGCTATCCTAAAACGGTACTATAAAATTATGAAATATAAATATTAATGTCATTGAGTGATATTGTTTTTGTAAATATTACTCTTTTTTATAACTCTTTTAATATGATAAAAAACTACCATTCATTTAAGGGAAAGTTCCTAAAATAGAACTAAAACAGTTTGAAAAATGACCAAATATAATTGTCAAATAAAAGAAAAATGATTAGCATTTTTTGTAATTTAGAGATTTGGAAAAACTTATTTGCATAATTAATCAAAATATTAAAAAATGATTTCCAAATTTAAATTTGTTCATAAAAGATGTTTTATACATGGGGATTTGACACACTTTTTAAATAACAATTTACTAATTTGCTAAATTTTTCACGAGAGAGGGTGTGCTACATTATTAAAATCCTCTAAAGGATTAGTGCCCAGGCTGGTGCCACTGATGCATTCATGCATGTCCTCCGGAAAGATAGAGCTAAGGTAGGTCCGTAAACCAAATTTATTGACAAAACCGCGATTCGATCCGATGGGGCTCTTTAATTTCTCGATTGGAACACCACTTCTCTTTCATGTGGTTTGCAATCTAGTGGATGGATCTGGATGGTAGCTAGACGAAGTGGTATTCATTTTTTATTGGAAATATTGTTTTTTATGATATTTATTGAAAATATTATCTACATCAAGATGCGTCAGGATAAAATAAGCAAAAAAACTATTTTTTTTTTTAAAAAAAAGATCACATAGTTATGTTTGAATTTTACTAATTAAGGGTTGTGATTTTTTTGTACCATACATCGGAAAGGAAGGATTGTGATATATGCATGCTCATATTTTTGTATTTAAATTATTAACCAAATTGCAGTGTACTAAAATCCCTTATCAAAAGCAAAATTGACACCAATAATCTTACTTTGACATATTTTACAAAAATAATTCCTACTTGAAAAATTAACAACAATAATCCCAACTAGTTAAGTGTTTTACAAAAATAAACAGAATGCTATACTAATGATATTGTGTTTTCCATTTTTTTTTAATTTTAAATATATTTCATAAAAAAATCCCATATCAAATGACAGCTTTTTATACATCTTTATTTTTTTTATATTAAAGCCTTTTAATATAAATAATGAATTAAAGAGTAATTTTTATCAGTTAAATACGTAGTATATATCATCTTTAATTAAGCAAGACTAACACGTTGTTATTTCCTAAAGATTATACTTGCATTTGACCTCGATAATGCTTTCAATTAGAAAATACGTATTAGCTAATACCCATCCGTCTCAATTTGTTTTGCAAAGTCAACATTTTTTTGTCAACCAATATTAAAAGTCAATCCTCTTTACGGTTAATTAACTGATGAATTTTTAATAATTAAAATTTACATATTCATAAACTACATTAAAATCTCTTCAAAGTTTTTTTTTGGGAAAGGATCTCTTCAAAGTTGTAAACACCAAATTAGAATATATTTAAAAATTGACATTCAAATTAAGCGAATAAAACAAAATTGTTTGACCAAGAAAAGTCAAATTTGCAAATGAATTTGGGATGAAGGTAGTTCTCTTAAAACTGAATAAATACTACTCTTTGACAAAGTGTACTCCGTAATATACAATGATCACTCTTAAAAATATTAATATTTTAAGTGTACGTATAAATATTCATATTTTACTGTTAGTCAATTCAAGATAAATAGTATGTAGTATTATCTAAAATATACATAAATCCAAAACCTATGTGTAATTTGCATTAAAATATTATGTGTAATTTATGTGTAATATACATAAATTCATTTAGTAACGTCACAAATAAACTCCAATAAGAAATTAAGGATATATGGATGTATCTCATTGAAAAGTTTCATGATTATATATTTAGATAATAATAATAATAATAATAATAATAATAATAATAATAATAATAATAATAATAATAATAATAATAATAATAATAATAATAATAATAATAATTAAATAAACTAATATGATTATATTTTGAAAAATAATTTAAATTGATATATAATATAATGAGTTCATTAATTATATTTGTGAAGACATAGATCTGTTGTTGTTATTATTTGCTTCTTAAGTTGTTATTTAGAAATATTAATTAGTTCTAAAAACAGAAACGAATAAACTTAATAGGACGTTGGCAAGTAATAATAAAAACAGATTACCATAAAAAAAGACAGATTAAACCCAAAAGTTTAAGTCCAAATTTTATTAAAAGTATAAAGCAAATTTATCTTCTTTGTTTCTTCATCTGTTATTCGCATTCTCCCTTTTTCTCCTTAAAACTTAAAAGTACTTAGCTTTCCTTTTATTTATCATGAATAATATTTCTTCGATTCAACAAAAAAAGGGCAGATTCTTGTTAATTATTCTTCTATCTCATAATTCCATCATACATTTCTTCTTGAAATGTTTAATTTGAACACCATCTCAATTCTGTTCAAATACTCCGTACAATAGTATTTTCATGTTCCTTACACTTTCCATTTTGGAATGTATGTAAAAGTTTCATACAATTTCCCTTTTTTGATAACTTTTTCCTTTAAAATACTCAATTACGCTTATTTTTCTATTTTTATCCTATTTTTCTACTTTTTCACTTCTTACTACATTTTCTATACACCGTCGTCATCCATGTTACTTTTCTCTCATACTTTTTCTATACTATTCATCATCCCTATTATTCTCCCTAAATCTTGTGTCATGACCTAACATATGGATCTTTTAAATACAGAGCAGTATTATACTTCCATACAATTGTGTAAGTTGAAAAGAATAATTTGAAAGAGCCAACTTTTTATTATACTTCGCAATTTATAAGAGGCAATTAAATTAATCAGTATTAATCCACTACTAGAGCTAGCTGCATCGGACTTACACGAAGGCAGACAAGTGATGCGACTTGGCGGTGACCGGAATATTGACCGGCGGCAGGGTGGGAAGAATCTGCATGGTCACCGCCTTCGTCTGCTTGTCCAAGCCCAGAACCAGAGCCGCCGTAAAGGTCAGCGCCAAGGCTAATAACCTTAAAGCAAAGTCTGCCCATCTAACGTTATTAAGCTTATGAGCCACCATTTCCTCCTCCGCGACGACGGCTTCAACTCCCATTCCTCTTTCTGCTCTTGATGCAGGAATCTTGGTTTCCATCTCTGTCAATATATAGTTTCAAACAACTTAATTAATTAATGATCTAATTAAATTGAAAAGGCCAACGGATCGAAATTATTGAGCTCTTTTTCCACGGAAATAAAGGAGATTTTTGACGGGGGGAGAGGGGCCGGTGTAGATCTAGTCCGAGGAAGAGAACCGGGAAAGATGGTTCTTTTATACTGCTCATCCGTATGGTTTCCGTGGGCCCTTCTATTTAAAAAGCTCCATATACGTATTCAGTTTTCTAAAAAAAGGATACACCCCATCCGTGACTCCGTGAGGGCCCTCGACACCGACCGGACGGCACGGTGAGAGGATGTAAATTGGACTATAATCACATTCTGACAGATAGAGAGTGAGACTCTGTCCCCGGTACTTGCAGAAGCCGAAACCTAACCCTTGTGGCACTCCCTCGCTACCAGTTGAGCTACGTCCACCGGTTACGTATTCAGTTTTCTTGATAGTCTATATATGTTCCTATAATCTTAATCACACAATTCTTTCTTTTCTTATCTTATATATATTTCTAAATTGTCAATGTTCAATGGGATGAAGACAATAATAATAATACTCACTCCATCCAAAATAAAAATTACATATTTCCTTTTCAAATTATCCCAAAATAAATACTCTCTTTTTGTATTTTAAACTATGCTACACTTTAATTTTTTGAATGTTTTTCAAACTGGGCTACATTTTCCCTTTTTGGTATGTCTTTCATTTAAAATACTCAATTGCTCTTATTTATTCTACTTTATATCTTCTTAATCATACTTTTTTATTATCGCTCATACTTTTTCTAAACTATTCATTATCATACTATTTCATTATTAAATAGTTTGGGGTTTGGGGTTTGGGGTTTTCGTAAGGAGGAAGTATTGTATTTTCCTTTTTAGTAAATGACCATATATACAATTTATACTTATATTTCCTTTTACATAAGTCTCTAACATAACTTTGTCATTCTATTTGTACGTACTTAGTTACTTTTATACTCAATTTAAATAAATAGTCAACCCGAATAAATTGGGTACACTAAAAAAATACAACAAATCCGACCCAATCCGTTTGATGTGCAGCCCTACTTTCTATGAACTAAAAAAGACTAACAATCTTGTAACATCAAGTATAAAAGAACTGCATATTACCATTTTACCCTTCATATAATTTTTTTTGATCATTTTACCCTTCGTATAATTTTTTTGATCATTTTACCCTTGCTATAATTAAAATCAAAGAATCCGTTGATGCCTCCAGAGACGAATCAGAACTCCATAACTTATCCAGCCGCATCACAAACTCCATGGCTACAGTGAGTTAGTGGTGGAATTGAACCTCCATAGCTGCTCTCCGTCACTCACGCCGGAATCTCCATAGTGCCGCATGCCCGCATGCACAATTCCAGGCAACCTCCTCCTCTAGGTCTGCAATTTTTTTGCTTTTTATTTTATTTTAATTTGTGAACTTCGGATTCTAGACAAAATTTGGATCCAAAAAAACCAAAAGAAGAACAAGGTTTTTACTGAATGACCAATGATCGGAAACATTTGAATTTGACTTTCATTAATTAATTTGTTAATTTTGACTAAATTCAAGTCTGAGAAAGACATAACTACGGGTTATTACAGAAAATGTCACTTATGTGGTATTTGACTTATAAAGATGAAAATATTACTTAAAATGACATTTTGACAAGTTTGCCCATTAATGTCATTTTTATTGCACAAAATGTATACAGATGGCCATAGTAATTAAGTCCTATTTTTATTTTTTGATTTTCCACATATTTTATATTTTTCATTTTTAGTTTAATAGTCACAAATTTTCTCGCCAAAATCCATAAATTCAGCCTCAAAATGACATTTTTCATCTAAAAAATTTATGTTTACGCATAGTAAAAACTGCCATGTTTTTTCACGAAAATGTCATTATTATGTCATTATTCTTATCAAAATGACATTGTCGACAGAGGCCTGCAAGACTCATCGAAAAGTGGCACATCATATGAGGATGGCGGCGGCGGCCTTGTCGAAGGGCATCGGCGGAGGCGTAGGCGGACATGTTGAAGGGTGACAACACGGTAGTTTAATTTTTTTGTACCTGGAATGTTGTTTTTCGCGATGCCAAACCCGTCTAGGAAACACGCGTACTCTTGCTGGGAGCTTTTAGTTTTATTTCATTAAAGGTAATTCTATCATGTTTTACTTCTATTTAGTGAATTCTCTAAAATTTCAGCCTCAAAGGGGCATTATTTTCATCTAGAAATTTCATGTTTTTGCATTTTAAAAAATGTCATCGATATATATTTATTCTTATCAATTAAGATGGCATTATCGACGTCGACAGAGGCCTGCATTAAGTCTAGTTTAGTCATACCAAATTTCAGTTAAAAATTCAATCTAGAAAGCAGCCGAATGGATTTTTGAAGGTAACTGCGCAATTAAATAGCGCAGTACATTTCATAAAATCATTTGACTATCTTCCCGATTGAATTTTTATCTGAAATTTGGTATGAGTAAATTAGACTTAATGAAGAAGATGCTCAAAAAACGTCATAAAAAATTTCACCTGGAACCGCCCCAAATGGCGAATTGGCGATGGCCTGACAAAGCCTCCTATATAAGGGGTGTTTTGCACTTTTTAAGTTAGTTCGAGGGTCTATTTGACCTTCAAATTATTTGAGCGTTGACAGAGATTGATTTGTTGTATCGTGAGTCAAACATCGTAATCTGAAATGGGAACTTATTTATGTGAGTAATGTGACGGAGGGAGTATATTACTCAATCACACAACAAATCTTGGTTTTTGTTGGGATATTAGGGTCCGGCCCAAAAACCCGGCCCAAAATATCCTTAAGGCCCATAAGAAGCAACAAAGCCCAATGAATGTCAGGCAGAGTGTTGGGGTCCCGAACGGGTTCACACCAACCGATTATGAACCGTTTGGTAGTTCCCGAACGGGTCAGATTCCGTACTTAACAAATAACAAGCAACATTCTTGACTACTAATTACTTAGCCTAACGTACCGAACGAGAAAGCCTTGCTAGTGAAATAGGCCCCCGTACACTTAGGGCTGAGCAAAACCCGACCCGACCCGAAAAACCCGATATTTTTTTTGGATATTATCCGAACCGAAGTGGATATCCGACCCGAAAAACCCGAAACCGAAAATCCGATTAATATTGGGCCTAGAACGGGTGGTGGGTAGGGTTTGTAAAATCCCAACCCGACCCGCCCGAATATCCGAAATATATGTTAGTGTGTACTTTGAATATGTTAAATTAATACTTGTGTTCAACTATTTGTGTAATTATTTGTGCAATTTGTATTAAGTTATTTGTGTAAATTGAATGTGTAGTGCACTAGTGTGTACAATTTTTGTCAATGTGGTATTCCAACACTTTAATTATCCAATTATAATGTGTTTTAATATAACCGAAATATACGAAATATATTAAATTATGTAGTGTGTACTTTGAATATGTTAAATTAATACTTGTGTTCAATTATTTGTGCAATTTGTGTTAAATTTTTTGTGTAATTTGGATGTTTAGTGCACTAGTGTGTACAATTTTTGTCAAAGTGGCATTTAAACACTTTAATTATCCAATTATATTTTTTTTAATATAACTGAAATATCCGAAACCCGACCCGATATCCGATAATATGCGACTTAAAAATATCCGAAATACCCGATTTGAAATATCAAAGGGTCGGGCCTAGTATTTAAATTTAAAACCCCGAACGGGTTTAGGGTTTGCAAACCCGACCCGCCTGAACCCGACCCGTGCACAGCCCTACGTACACGGTACACTTACCATTTCGTCAATTAAGACCTCGCACTCCCAAATCACCCAATTAAACCGTTTCACTCTTAAAAAACACACAATCAGGCTTTTTAGCCGGTTACCAGCAAGTCAGGCCATTACCCGCTAACCTGGAAACATACGTGGCACCAACCTACCCGGCCACTTATCTTTCGTGTTCTCCCTTCTGTTGCTCAGCCAAAACCCCAAATCGAACCCCAAATCGAACAGAACCCAATTCGTAACCCTAATTCTTCGTCCTTGCTTCCTCTCCTCTCTGCGATATGTTTGTGCTCTGAAGAACCATGTCATGTTCATCGACCTCAATGGGTAGCAAAGAACGAAGCCGTACGATGGACTACAAGCCTCATGTGCATTGTTGGTGTGGATTAAAAGCCCATCTTTGTGTTGGATGGGAGAGTGGAAGAATGTTTTACGAATGTAAAAAATGGAAGGTAATTCACTGATTTCGTAGTGTCGTGTTCAATTATAGGGTGTAATACATTTTATTTGGTGCAAAAAATATATATTAACATTAACTACAACAATGGTGGTGTTTTATGAGGGTGTACGTACAGGTTGGTAGTTGCGGATTTTTTTATGGAAGAAAGATGCTGCAAGAAATGATATGATTAGGCCTGGACACAAGGAACCAAATCTGAGGCCTATAGATCAGGATGAAGTGTGTGATGAAGTGAAAATACTAGTTCAAGGCCTTATCCTACAATTAACACATGCAGAGGAAGAGCTTGGTGATGTTAAAGCTATTGTTGATGATGAGGCAAAGGTCAACAAAAAGAATAGGAAGCTATGTGGTTTTGCTATGCTTGTACTTCTTCTTTTAGTAGGAAGTATGTATTTGATGTTGTAATAAATATTTGTAATGGCAGAGATGGTAGGTTATGCAGTGCTTCTTGTTTAGTTGGATTGGATTGTTAAGTTTTTCTTATTGTTAAGTGGTCAAGTAATGGAAGCTGTCTTGAATATTCAGACTGAATTTTGTGACACTATGTAGAAGTAATGGAAGTTGTGTTTAGTTGTTTTGATTGTTTAGTATGTTATTCCTTTGGTTATTGAGAGTATTGAATACTCACATTGAATTTTGTTAATGTTGCATGAAGTATATGAGGTGAATTTATGCATGAATGTGTTATAGCATAATGCATAATGCATGGATACATCTGGCATAATGCATTTTGCATAATGCATAATGCATAATGATTCCTTTGTGTTATAGCATAATGCATAATGCATGAATGTTCTGAATTTTATATGAGCTTACAGTAGCATAAAGCATAAAGCATAAACCATTAAGCATAATGCATAAATGCCTTATAGAGCATGACAGAGCACAAACGTTTTAGTGTTCAAGTGCTCTACATTTTCTGCAGCCCATTCAAACACATCTTGCTGCATAAAACATAATGCATTATGCAATAGAGGCCTTTCATTCACTCACAATATAATGGGTTTAAAGCATTCATGCTTATACACCATTATGCTTGAAGTCATACACAGGCCAGGCTAGCATAATGCATTCATTCACAATATAAAGGCATTAAAAGTGAACCATAAGATTAACATTCATTTAAAAGCTACTTCATTAGGAAAGGGCATGGCTTTAATCCCAAAATAGACATTGTTTAGGTCCCAAATCCAAAATACACAAGCCATTGTTTGCCACTAAATCCACAATACAAAATACCAGTGAAGCCAAATAAATCAATAAAACTTTGCATACTACATAGGCCATTGTTTCTTAAGTTTGCACATTACAAAAGGTATTTCATTATACATCTTCCACACCATACAAAGTCCTAGTTCACCCCCTCCACATCTTCTTCAGACCTGCCTCCTCGTACCAGTGTTTCTCCAATCTGCCCGGGCTGCAATCACACATATATTCAATCACATTATTTAAATACACAAGTCAAGAACCAACATTAAACAATCAATTCCAAAAAAAACTTACATCCAAGATAGTATGACCAGTTTGCTCGATAAAATAAACCCCATACCCCCTCTCTGCTCCCCGTGCCCCTATAACCTCTCCCCATTCTACCTCTTACGCTTTCTTCACCTCCCCCCCCCCCCCCCTCTCACCTCCCCCCGACCTCTCCCCCTGTCACCCCCCCCCCCCTGTCACCTCCCCCCGACCTCTCCCCCTGTCACCCCCCCCCCACGTCACCTCTCCCATCCCTTTTAGCTCTTCCCTCCTTGTCACCTCCCCCCTCTCTGTCACCTCTCCCCCCTCTGTCACCCCCCCCCCCCCTCTGGCACCTCTCCCACCCCTCTCAGATGTCTCCCCTATCTCACTTGCACCTTCCCTACCCCCCCTGTTTCAACTGTAGTAGGTATTTCTCCATGTGCACAAGATTTTCTGTTACGACCTTCCCCTTTACACTTTGAGCATGTCATGATTCTTCCCTTCCTTAGCAGATGTATTCCTCCTGTAGGTGCATGGGTTTCTGATTCTTCTCTCACCCTTTTCTTCTTTGGTCTTCCATTCATTTTTGGGCAAGGGAGGAAGAATTTCTTCATACTGGTTTCTTGGCCACAACATCTCACCATTTATTGGATGCAGAGTGAAGGAGTAAGTTCTTACATACATTTCCTTGGAGTAACATGAGTGCATGTATACTTTAGGGTCTTCTCCTTTATCCAGAATTGCACATATGGCATGAGCACAGGGAATACCAGTCAGATCCCATCTTCTACATGCACATGTTCTTGCATTCAGGCTAACCTTGAACTGAGATCTTCCTTTTTTAATTTCATAGCCATCATCCCCATTAAAGTCAACATTCCAGCCTTGACTTGATGGTATGTTCTTGTTCAACTTCTTCATTATCAATGGTCCAAATGCACCTGAAAACACAAAGAATAAAGAAGTGGTAAACTCATATGTGTAAATGATTGGTAACGAAGTGTGCAGAAATGCAAAAGTGGTAATGAGTGCTATCTAGCTTCCCCACCTAGCCACTTCTTCACATATTTCTTCTTCTTGGCTATTCTCTTCATCATAGCCACTCTCATACACTCTAGCATTGGGATTAATGGCTTGTCTCTGAACTGAACAAGTGTGCTGTTGAAAGCCTCAGACATGTTGTTATCAACACTGTCACACTTCACCTTAGTCTTAAAAAAGGCCTTGCACCAGAACTTCAGTGGATATTTGCGCAAGTCTGTACCTGTTGCAGCATCAAGCTTATCTAACTCATTTAAAGAAGCCTCTAGTTGAGGTTCTGAGGTAGACTTTGCACACTGCCAAAAGAGTTTCTTCAACACCATGCCTCTATGAGTTTTGCTCCAGTTCGCATGTATATGTCTAGCACAATTTCTGTGCTCAGCCTGAGGGAGAACACTCGCTATTACATTTGACAGCCCCTACACAAAAGTCATTAGACATAAATCAATATTAGGTCCTTGGTAGTAATGGTACCAATATTAGTAACACATTTAAGTGATATCATTGTGAGTACAAAAGATGTAGTACATAATGACCTTCTGAGTACACTTCATATTACTAAGTCATGCACTTAATGCAAGTAGTACAAAACAATGTCATGCACTGAATGCACTTAATGACCTTAATGCACTTAATGCAAGGTCATGAACTTAATGCAAAATATGGTCATATTAATGACCTTATCAATATACTACATATTGTGAGTGCAAAAGAAGTAGTACTGGGAAGTTTCTCAGGGCGCACACGAGTGAGGACAAAGTGCGCGGAAAAGGCTAGTGGCGGTTTGTGAGGACAGTACTAGAGATCTAAAGGGTGTGTAGGAGTAACTACTTTGGGGTCCTGCGGGGACGGGGTGTTACAAATGGTATCAGAGCAACATTGCGACAGTGTGCTGACTCATTGGATATCGGGCGGGCACTTAGCGGGGGAAGATTCAGGGATTTCATTGAGATTTGAGATTGGTTTATGGGCGCAACGAGGACGTTGCGTTCCTAAGTGGGGGTGATTGTAATACTTGAGATTTAATATAAATGGATTAATAGTACTACTCATACCAACAAGATGCATCTCCTTTTAAGGGAGTTCATCACCAAGAACTCCAAAGTTAAGTGTGCTTGCATGGGAGTATTCTTGGGATGGGTGACCCCGGGGAATGTTTCTCAGGGCGCGCACGAGTGAGGACAAAGTGCGCGGAAAAGGCTAGTGGCGGTTTGTGAGGACCATGACCTTCATGAGCTTCTGGTTGTGATTCTTCCTATGTTGTACCAATTGGTCCCGCTAAATCTACTTCTTCCACCAAAACAACCCCATCTATTACGTGTTCTACATAAATCTCACATTTACCACAACTTCTGGCCAAATCAATAAGATGCATAACGGACTTATCATCAAAGAGCTCATGTAAGGACTCCAATGGGGCACTTGTTTTTTTATAGTACAAACCACTAATGTTGCCATACGTCCCACTTTGTAAAAACTTCTTCAAATGAGGATAGTTTATCACATCAGGATCAGCGGGTATAGAATATATTGCTCCCCGAACATATATTTTATGAGGAACAACAACATAATCCCCCCCATGGTGAACTATCAGTTCCCCCGTCTCAAACATCCTAGACACATTACAGATAAAAAAACAATTCTGATTTCAGATGTACGTAAATGAAACACTAACTCATCGCCTAGGGTTAATGAAGTACAGAAATTACAAGGGGAATGAGAATGAAACATATAAATCAGTTCGTGAATGGGAGTGAAGTACACAAATACATACCTTAGTGTTATTCGCTGTGAGATTGAAGTTCTTTGATCCTACCTCTTTCGTCCACGCTCGCTCATGAAATGGCCGCAACTCAAAAACGGTGAAAGTTAGTTAGGGATTGGGTTCTATTCGATTTGGTGTTCGATTTGGGGTTTAGGCTGAGTAACAGAAGGGAGAACATGTAGGATAAGTGTCCGGTTAAGTTGGTGCCACGTATGCTTCCAGGTCAGCGGGTAACGGCCTAACCTGCTGGTAACCGGCTAAAAAGCCTGATTGGGTGTTTTTTAAGAGTGAAAGGGTTTAATTGGGTGATTTGGAAGTGTGAGGGCTTAATTGACGAAATGGTAAGAGTACGGGGGCCTATCATGTTATTAAAATTGTAGTCCTATAAACATAGAAGTCCTAACTATTTGCACAATAATTTTATCTTATTTTAGTCCCATTTAGGTAACTCTCACAATAAAACTAACAGCTTTAGCTTTTTTTATATATATAATTTTCAAATGGTATGCATCAAGAATAAAAAAAGATAAGTAAATTACTGAATTAAGTCCTAACACGACTTAATTAGCCTATTACATGCATGTAGAATTAGAGTCAGCACTCCATCACACTACAAATTAAATCAAACCGAGAAGATCAACAAGAACAAGGTGGAGTATTATTATTAGCTAGGAAGTCTCTTGTGAAGGCTTAATGCAGCAAAGAAGACGAGGAACAAGAACAAGATGGAGGTGGCCAATGAAATTGCGAATGCCGCCGCCGCTTGGATGCAGAATCTCCCGAAGACATTACACACTTTGTTCCACCCCACGTGCGCATTCCCGTAGTAACTCATCAGCCCGATAGCCCCGGCGGCTCCGCAGCTCGAAAACAACAGCGCCACCATGGTAACATCGAGGACGATGATCATTAAAGACGTGGCGGCGGCATTGTTCTTTTTCCTGTTTCCGAGTGTGAAGACCAATGAAACAACTGCATATGCACATGCTATTGCATTGACCACCACAAAGTACCTTCAAAAACAAAATAATCTAACATAAAACCATGGCTAATGGGTCAGAACTTACTTAAAACGAAGAATTTTTTTGTCTGTAATTTGAATAAAATATCAATTCGAAACATATATGTATAGTTAAGGTACCATTTTGATTCATTTAAGAGTTAAGGTACTAAAATGCAACATTACCAATAGTTAAGGTACCATTTATGCATTTGACTCCAAATCATCCCTTACATAGGAGGCTCTGTCCAGCCGCCGCCATTTGGGGATGTTCCCGCTGGAAGTTTTTGATGATTTTTTTAGCATCTTCTTCATTAAGTCTAGTTTACGCATACCAAATTTCAACTAAAAATTCAATCTAGAAAGCAGTCGAATGATTTTTTGAAGGTAACTGCGCAGTTAAACAGCGGAGTACATTTCATAAAATCATTTGACTATCTTCTCGATTGAATTTTTATCTGAAATTTGGTATGGGTAAACTTGACTTAATGAAGAAGATGCTCAAAAACTTTCATGAAAAAATTTCACCTGGAACCACCCCAAATGGCGATGGCCGGACAAAGCCTCCTATATAAGGGGTGATTTGCACTTTTTAAGTTAGTTCGAGGGCCTATTTGACCTTCAAATTTTTTGAGTGTTGACAATGATTGATTTGTTTTATCGTGAGTCAAACATCGTAATCCGAAATGGGAACTTGTTTATGTGAGTAATGTGACGGAAGGAGTATATTACTCAATCACACAACAAATCTTGGTTTGTGTTGGGATATTAGGGTCTGGCCCAATAACCCGGTCAAAAATATCCTTAAGTCCCATAAGAAGAAACAAAGCCCAATAAATGTCAGGCAGGGTATCGGTGTCCCGAACGGGTTCACGCCAACTGATTATGAACCGTTCTGTAGTTCCCGAATGGGTTAGATTCCGTACTTAACAAATAAAAAGCAACATTCTTGACTACTAATTACTTAGCCTAAAGTACCGAACGAGGAAGCCTTGCATGTGGTAGGAGCGCATTTAATGCTGGAGTGCGCATTTAATGCTGGAGTATGTGCATCAAAGTGGAAGCGTGGGTGTCGCAAGTGGCAAAGGGGTCAACTGTTCAGAATCAGCCACATCATTCATCCCACCTACCTACTTCTAGTATAAATAGTAGCATTTACTCCATTGTAAAGGGTTAGCATTTTGATACTCATAATCTACTTCACTCTAACTCTTGTATTAGAAACAAGACCGTAACTCCCGTTCGGCCCTTTGTAAACATATACTTTCACTAATACATTGGAGCCACTAAATTATTATCTTGATTAATCTCCTTTCCTAAATCCCCTTTACATCAAGAAGCATTGTTGATATCTGAAGGACTGTGTTGAACCTTTAGGTCCAAGCGAATTAACCTCAACAGTTTGTAAGAAAAGTGAATACTTAAACTTGTTAAAAAAAAGAGGTAATTACTAGGAGCATGAAATTTGTGCATGCAATTTCTTTTACTCCTTCCTACCCATAAAACAGTTAAAACTTGGACAACTTTTCTTTTTTGACCGTCTCAAAAAACTTTGTCATTTCCATTTAAAGTAACAAATATGTGGCTAAAGTGATTTCTCTCTCCTTTGCACAAATATCAATCACACAGTTTTTAATTTATTAATCTACGTGCAAGTAAAGATTGGTCAAGTTTTATTTGACGGAGGGAGGGAGTAATATATTTTGCCCTCCATGTGATATCCAGTGCCCAGTGGACAGGAATTAGAGATTAGGGCCCTCCATGCATCATCCGTGATCAATAAGAGACGATTGAGGGGGTGTTTGGATCTGATTCTTAAAACTGCTTCTGCACCCTCTCCTTCAGGGAGCAGAAGCAGAAGTTGGAGTGTTTGGGTGAAAGTGCAGAAGTGATTCTGATGCTCTAATTTACTCCTAGATCGAATCAGTTTTTTTTAGAAGATGGGGGGAACCAGCTTCTGAAAACTGATTCTGATTCTGCTTCTGCTTCTGCTTTTGCTTTAAAAAAAGCAGAAGCAAAATCAGTTCCAAACACCCCTTAATCTACGTGATAATATATGGATCCGAATGTACTGAGATTAGTGCAACATATTTTTTCTTAAATTTGTATAGTATTATTGTTTTTCATTTTTCTCGTGACTTTAATTATAGTATAATTATTTCTCAACTACCCCCATCTTCAAATTATGGATCCAGACTTATTAAAGAATCAAGGGAAATTATTATTAACCCCATTGAAGTTTAATGTAGTATCACCTGCATTTGTGAACTATAAAAAATGTACTCTTACGGCTCTGTCCTTTAATAATGGTGATGTACCTTTTAATTTACATTTAGAAAAAAAATAGAGATTTTTTCCGTATTAATGTTAATTAATTAATTAATTACGAAAATAGGGTTGGGTTAAAAGTATTTACCAAAATACTGCTGGTTTAACCATGGTCGGGGAAAGTCGCCCAACGGTTGGGCGACTTATAAGTCGCCAAACCATTTGGCGACTTATAAGTCGCCCAACCGTTGGGCGACTTTTCCTTAAGTAAAAATCGGGTCATGCCCCAAAACAGAACCCTGTGTAAACATCACTCCCCAAATCCCCCAAGGCACACCGACGACAGACGAAGGAAGAAGACGACCGAGCTCCTATCCAACTCCGGCGAAGCTCCATCTCCAGCCTCCCCACTCCGGCAAACCTTCATCTTCTTCTGCAACACTCCTTCTTCTTTCTTCTAGGTAAATAAAACTCCATTTCATCTCATTTTGAACTTAGGGTTTTGAATGTTAAAAATTTCAAATTTTTGGATTATGAATTGATTGTGAATTAAGTTGTTGTGAAATGTGGATATGTATGAAATGTTGAAATTTGATTTTAAATTGATTGTAAATTTTAATGTGTATTTTGACATTTGGGCATTTGGGTAGACTTGAATGTAGCTAAATTTGGGTATTGAAAGGTAGACGTGAATGTAGATATCAAAATTTTGGTAGTTCCATATTGAAATGTGAATTGTTTGTGAATTTTGACTTTTGGATATATTACAATTTTGGTAGTTTTTCTATTGAAAATTTGAATGTGTTTAAAGTGTGTATATTGATGCCTACTCATGAATGTTGGACAATGAATTGTTATTAGAATATGGATTTCTCAAGCTTCACAATCATATGTCATTGGGGAGGAAACTATTATGAGGATGCTGGGCAAATATGCCTTGAAGGTGGTAGAACCAGCTTTGTCATGGTTTCTGACATTCATGTAATTTCCATATTTAAATTTGTGTTTTTAATTAGTTTCGAGTGATTGTTACTTTGGAAATTACACACTTTTGGTGTAAATAGTTTAGTTTGTAAAATATTTGTAATATGTTTAGATTAGGTTTATTCTGAGCTCAAACAGGTCCAAGTACACTTTGGAGACCATTGGTGAACATCACAAATGCAAAGAAGGTGCAAGAATACAAGAAAAAAAATGAAGATCTCGTTTTTGGTCTGTACCCGGTCGGGTATGACCTATACCCGGTCGGGTACCCTTCTGAAAAATCGAATCAAATCAAATCCGGGAACAAGGCATCATGCGGGAAGATTTTAACACGTTCGGGTGTCCATACCCGATCGGGTGACCGACAGACCCGATCGGGTATGACCCATTTTCCAGCTTCGAAGAAGCCACCTTTTATACCCGATCGAGTGAGCTGAAAGCCCGATCGGGTACACGATCCTCCAGGCCTAAAAAGCCTATAAATACACCCCATTTCCTCCACAATAGATCACCAATTCCTATATACTTCTAAGCTCAGTTTAGACAAGTTCTTTCTTTATATTTTTATCATGTTTAGACTCCAAATGAGGAGCTAAACTCTTCCATCTTGGTTTTGCTACTTTGAAGCTTAATGAATTGTAAGTTGTGAGTTATTTTCTTTAATCTTCTTCCTTGAATATTAATTAATTCCTATTCCTATACATATTAATATTTTGAGCAATACTTAAAGGATCAACTAGTTTTGTTTCATATATTAATCAATACTAGAATCGATCGATTAATACGCTTGTTATTAACTCGGTCCTTTCACGGTAGTAAACTTGGGTTGTTAATGCATGCGTCTCATGGTTAATAAGCCAAGGGGAATTAATTATATTGATTAAACTGATAAACCGCTTGTGTTGAGGTTATCAATCTCAATCGTTTTCATCTTGATTTTATTGCTACTATCGAGTAAATATACGGCGCGTGTTCTATATTAACTCGGTAGTAAGTTTTATTAATGAACGCGTCTCGTTATTAATAACTACCCTCGATGAATTGGATATACTCCTCGATTGAGTATTCGAGAGGAAGATAGTTAAAGATATAACCGGGATCGACGAACATTTCATTAAGTGGATAAAAGCAAAGCCAAGCCTTCTTCTCATTAGTTAAACCACATAACTCGTTCATCTTCGTGTTTAAATATAATTTAAAGTTCATCAACCAAATTTAAACCCCCCTTTTTGTTACTTATTTATTTCTGTAAGAAGAAAAGTATTCCTTTCCCTGTGGATACGAACCTTACTTCACTATACTACGTATTTTTGTTGTATTGTATTTATTTTGGGTGCACATCACGACAAAGTGCACGCCAGTTTCTCGTGGCGCTTGCATGCTGGAGATCCTTCAAAAAATACGTGCAGCCACAATGATTCATCCCAGCCGTTCTTTGCGGTTGAAAATGAAATTTCCCATGAACGGGGGAAAGTACATGCTTATGCCCCTCATTGATGAGCTAGCTATAACAAATATGTGGGGCATAACTCAGATGGAGGATATGTCGACGCTTGAGATATACATTGAGGAATCCTGTGACGCCTATGGTACTCAATCAACATCAAATGATGTCGTATCTACGCATGATGTCAATGCAGGGGTGAATGCAGGGAACTCCTCAAAGGCTCCTGTACTGGACATGGTTATACAGGAAGATGGTAGGTATTTGCACAACGGTGCATCATTTGTGGATGGGCAGGGAAGTGATGATGATGCTTACGAGAACATCAATGGTGATGACATGACAGATCTGATGAAGATGATGGTGATACTGTCACGAAAACTGCCCCGTCTAGCCATTTTACTAGAATGTGCCTCTAGATAGAGCGCTTCTCACTGCTCTACTTGAGCGTTGGAGGCAGGAGACACACTCATTTCACCTCCCTGTTGGTGAGGTGACAGTGACATTGGGAGATATTGTTGTACTTATCGGGTTAGAGGTTCATGGGAGAGCTGTTACAGGCACTGCTTGTCGACAGTGGGTGGATGAGTGTGAGCGGTTGTTAGGTATCCGCCCCGTTCTTAGGACTGACCTTCAGAGGTCATCTCTGAGGATGCCATGGTTGAGGGAGCACTTCCAGGTGCTTCCTCCCGACGCTGATGAGGTCATGATCCAGCAGCATGCTCGGGCTTATATATTGATGATGATGGGAGCCTCCATTTTCGCTGACAAGAGCGGAAATGAGGTTCAAGTGCTGCACTTGCCTTTGCTAGAGAGGTTTGATGTAGCATCACAGTTCAGCTGGGGTAGTGCCACCCTGGCTTATCTGTACAGACAGCTTTGTCGCGGCTGCCAGAGAGGGAGCACAGAGCTTGGGGGATTTTTGCTACTCCTCCAGATTTGGTCATGGGAGTATATCCACATTGGGCGTCCCATTATAGTCGGATATCATGGCATTGATGGACAACCACTGCCTGATGAGCCTCCACATCTTTTAGGACCACATCATGTACGGGGCGAGGACCTTCTAGGCCGTCGGTATGTTTTCAATCGTTTGTATTTATGTGAGTGTATGTTGTGTGTAAATACATTAATAATATCCATATTAATGATACTGTTACATGAATGGTTAGATGGCTATATGCTGGTCTATCTCGCATGTCATCCGCTACTGGGCTCGGTGTGTACAGGGATGCATTTGATCGGATGTCTGAGGAGCAGGTATGGTGTGGGTAGTATAACATTAACTATAATATGTATAGAAAAACTCCTAATTTTGTATCTTTATGAAACAGATTACATGGATGTCGTTTACACCTGAGATGTTAGCAGAGTTGCCCCCAGCTGGACGAGAGCATACTCACATATGTGCCGTTGATATGTTTTGACATTGTTGAGCTTCATTTGCCTGATAGAGTCTTGCGACAGTTTGGGTTTGAGCAGGTCGTTCCACGGCCTATCGACACTTATGTTGAGCTGCATAGGCTGGATAGGCGTGGGAAGCATACAGAGGATTGGGCACTCAGACATGTCCGATATGTGACTATGTGGGAAAGGAGAGTTGAGCTAGTTGTGGCTGGGACACCGACATATGTGCCATCTGTTTCAGGAGACTACATGGGATGGTATTAAAGCATCACTCGTTTGTTTGTGTCTCCTTCGTTCAGACTCCTTACTCATCATTATCAGCCTAGCTCCTTGGCTTTGCATCTTACGGTGAGTATATTAGTAATTAGTAAAGTAAGTCATTTTATTTATGTAATATTTGTATGTATTTCAATGTAAATGTAATTGTGTTTCATATTTCAGACACGAGCTTTGCAGCGCATACATCAGCGGGCTAGTGCCACAGTGACTGATAGTCATGATGTGGACATGTATGGATAGGCTATGACAGGCATTGCGTCCTTGTGTACAGATGTGTTGGGGCGAGTCGACTACGGCCATCTTATACACATGCCCCCATCTCAGGAGATGCCATCCACGTCTAGTGCAGCGGCGGCTTCATCATCCCAGACGCAGCATGAGAGAGTGGTTCTTCAACCACAACAACGGCGTAGGCGTCAGCCTAGGCGTAGACATGAGCAGCAACATCTCCATGACGAAGCTGACGATGGGAACTTGTAGTTTGTCTTTTGTATTGTAGTTTTTCTTATGCAGTAGATGTTGTAGGAACAATAATTTACAACATTTGACGTATTTTCTCTTGTAAAGTCTTGTATGTTGTCTTGATGTGTTCGAGTATGAATATTAGATGATTACTTGTTATGAATATTGGATGATTGTACTGTGTTATACCGGTTATGAATAGAAGGTTTTGTATTTGATTTGTAAAGGGTATTTTCAAGGTGTTTTTTATGTTGATGAGAGTAGGTGTTATGTATGTGATTGTGAAGACGTGTGTTGTATGTTTTATAATGTGTTGTATCTGGCTCGTAACATTTAAACAGGAGAAGAGAGACCTTATTTATAGCAAACAGATGATTAATTCATAACTATTGATGCAGCAACAATTGTATTCTTTTTTTTAAACTTGATGTATATATTGATTTATATATTCTTTTTTAAACTTGGCTCGGTTTAAGACACTTTATTTATGTTTTAAATTTTCAAATTGTCAACAAAATTAAACATTAGGCTTAATTAATTGACCTATTTTTTCAACAAAAAGAAGCCTACTCACACTATATAGAGAGAGAGAAAATGGACATATATTTTCTTCTATTTTTTCGGGCCTAGGGCGGTCGCCCCTCTTGCCCCCCCCCCCCCCCCCCCAACCGGCCCTGCACTTATGTTAGAGCAATCACTTGAAATATTTATGTATTTACTCCTCCATTTGCACGTTACGTATATTATTCATAATAACCGAGTCGCGAATAGAGATGACAACGGGGTGGGTTTGGGGCTGGCTCCCTATCCTCATCCTATGTCTAAAATATTCCTCCATTATAACCCCATCTATCACTACTGCAAACCCGCCCGCCCTGTTCTCGCCCCATCCTGTTGTCCCCCATGGCCCACGGGTGCCCGCATATATTTACCCCATTTTATAGATAATATATATATATATATATATATATATATATATATATATATATATATATATATATATATATATATATATAGCACTAAAAGAGGTAACTAGATAATATTGTGTTTGAAAAAGTTAATTCCGTCAATTTTTAATAATTCAATAGTAAAAGTAAAAATATAAGCAAACACATCATCATCATGTATGTCATTACAAATTTCTCATCAATTATAATACAATTTTTTTTTTGACAAGAATTATAATACAATTATTAATGTATATTATCCATACATATTACATATGCATATGTTTGTTCTATTTACTCACTTTGAAGCATAACAATAATTACTGTTATTTATTGAAATAAAAAACATAATGATTTTATTTTGGAATTCCATAACGTCTTCAGTTTAATACTTGATAATTAAGCTTTAATTTTATTATGTGATCAAGGTTTTATGTTAAAATTAAAGTGATCAATGTTTTATTTTGCGTTAGCGGTTAGCAGATAGCGAATTATGTTAGCGGATTGTCAATAGCGGAATTAGTTGGTGAGCTGTCAGAATATGTTTGATAATTTAATTGTTTGACCATAAAATTAGTTGAAAACGTCATATTTCAAAGAGTCAATTCCCTAAATAGGACTAAAAAGTGGCAAAATTGCACAAATAAGACTACATTTTTTAAATTCCCTTATTAGGACTGTTTATGTGTGTTTGGACAAATATACCCTTGTAACTTGTGAAATGTTCTAATTAATAGTAAAATCATAAAAAAATAACAAAAATCGAAAAAATACTAAAAATCGTAAACAAATAATAGAAAATTAATAAAAAAAATTTTAAAAAAAATTAAAAAAAATATTTTTTAAAAAAAGTAAAAAAAATAAAATAAAAAATCGTAAAATTAAAAAAAAACATTACCACCCCTGCCACCCCCAGCACCACCAGCTCCCATCACTGGGAAAAAATATGCCAACATTTTAAATAATGCCATAATGATGGCATATTCAATGAAAATGTTGGCATATTGAAGAGTAATTATGCCATCTTTTTGGCATTTTCAGAAAAAGATGGCAGTTTTTACCAAAAGTGGAAGAAATTTCACCAATCGGAGGTGGTGGTGCTGGGAGGCGGCGGGAGGCGGCGGGAAAGGTATCCATAATTTTTTTCATTTTTTATGGGTTTTTACTATTTTTTATTATTTTTTTAAAAATATTAAAAAAAATAAAAATTAAATTTTTTTATAAATGTTTTACGTTTTTTTATGATTTTATTATGAATTAAAGCATTTCATTATGAATTTATACTCTTAAGGGTATTTAGGGTAGAAAATCAATGTTTAGTCCTATTTAGGGAATTTTAAAAGTAGTAGTCCTATTTGTGCTTTTTAGGAACTCATTAGTCCTATTTAGGACAATTTCCGTATTTCAAAACACTAACACAAAACTCTCATATTTATAGCTCTTTCATCTCAATGGTTCCGTTCAAAAACACTAGTTGCGAAAAAATATTTACCAAACCACATATTCATTTATGAAAATAGCTAAAAAGGGTCAAATAATAATTTGTTTGCTGAAACGTCATTTTCTAAACGGGCGAAAGTAAGATGATGATATGGAACAAAATATGACGCGATAAATAAGTAGGAGACAACTCTGGTACCTCAACCAAGCATTCCAGCCCAGCTGGTTGCGAGGTTACCGTGTCTAGTGGGAGGTCTCGAGTTCGAATCCCTCTAGGCACACAAAGGTTTGAAACCAAACCCAATGAAGTGAGTTTCAGCCCTGATTACTCCAGGCTCCCCCCAGCCCCCCTCCCCCAGACCCTCCTGGAGTAAAAAAAAATGAGAAAAAAAAAAAAAAGACAACTCTGGTACCTCATTTAAAAATGGGGTATCGTACCTAACACAAATTTGATTGGTCCAAATCATTATATCCATTTTAATTTAGATTTAAATAATCTACCAAATATTGCAAGTGACTTACACAGAGGCAGAGAGATGTTGCCACTTAGCAGTGAGCGGAATGTTAACCGGCGGGAGGGTGGGAACGATTTTGACGCTGACAGCCGTGGTCTGCACGTCCAATCCCACAGCTATGGCAGCCACCCCCGTCAGAGCAAACGCCACAAACCTTATAACACTGTCTGTCCGTCTCACATTAATGCTCTGCACCTTCTCCCCGAAACCTTCAACCCCCATTTCGATTCTCGATCAACTTCTTTTCCTTCTCCATATATTTACTATATAAAGTTCCAAACAACTAACTAATTTTACCGAAGCTATTAATACTCTCATCAATGAATTGTCCCATTTTCCACGGATGAATGAATGAGAGGAGAAGAGGGGCCGGCTGGTAAGGTACTAGACAGAGATCCTTCGGGAAAATTGGTTCATTTCGTACGAGTCGGCACCTTCATTGAGTGCAGTTTCTAGCTATGAAATTGAATGCAATATTGCAATTTACTTTCTATTTTTTTTTTCACATGTCGCCCACTTGGCCGAAATGGTTCTACTTCCTAGTTCCTACTGCATGTCTGCATTCATCCCTCGCAAAATGATTTTTAAATACAATTTCACTCCACTAATTATTATTTTTGATCATCAAAGAATGACCGTTATATTAAAATCGAAAATACATACGAGACAATCTTCAGACAGAATTTACAGATCCACTCTTGCATCCTAGGTGTAGAGTTAGAGTCATTCACCTCCTACAAAGTAACATGACTCGCTAAAACTTACGCATAAAATTACCGGAACTGAAACCCTGCATATCAAAAGAACTCTAAAAATCCAAACATTCAAACCAAATCTATTCGGACTAAAACAGAAACAATTGCTATTAAAGACAAAATAATACTCAAATAAAATCTTTTCACAAAGCACTTTCTGGTATGGTTGTGGTTTCGGGGGAGGACGAGCTCTTGCAATATAGGTGAATAGTTGAATCCCAACTTCACCACCGTCGGAATGATCGACCAAGGCTTCACGATCCAGTCTCGATACAATCTCTCAACCACACATAGTTCATCCGCCAACGCTATCTCCTTCGGCGTAGTTGTAATTCCAAGCGTTAGAACACTTCAAATCAGTATAATCTGCCGCTCCAACCCCATATTGATAGAGGCGGCGAAAAATTTCAAACCTCACAAAGAGGGGAGACGACCGCTAGGGTTTTCACTAATTATTTTAAATAATCGTCCATATATACATGTATTTAATTTAAAAGGGAAACACTATGAAAAGTAGGTCCCTATACTTTTAGAGGGAACTCCAGGCTGAGAAATGACTTGAAACGCTGCCAAGATATCAGTATCTTTGATTTCCTACTGAGGAGTATAATAATTAAGTCAATTTATAATCTTTAGAAAAATTATAAAGATTTCTCATTTTAGGATAAATTGTCACTAGAATTTAGCTTGCTCCGTGAGGATTCTAGTTAGAACCCTTCTTAAATGATAATTCTTTATAATGATAATTTTTAATGACAACCTTTCATTATTTTCACATTGGTGGGATGCACATGATGTCCATTGTGTAATTATTAATTTTTTAAATGGGGCATTTTTTTAATTATTGTAAAATAATTACAAAAATGACCCCTTGATAATTTAACCCTTGATTTCATATATCAAGGGTTGAGAGTAATAAATGTGTTTTCATTTTAAAAGGGGTTCTCATTAGAACTCCCCTCGTATTAATAACACTCAATGAATAAAAAATCCTAGTTGAGATGTATATGTACCCTCATTAGGATGTTTTTAATTTAATTCTACTGTAAATCTCATGCCAGCTCAAATTTGTTTGGTAGAAATCTGTTTTATGTTTACTTTTCAAGTGACGAAGTTTGATCATGTCTATCTAATTTGATATGATCTAGTTTGGCCGATGCGGTGTAGTCTAGGACTGAAACCAGTCCAATTAAAAATTGTCTAAATTATGGAGTTTAAATTTGAGGAAATAACTTCAAATAATACAGTCTATCATCATGAATGAATAATAATACCTACTTTGAAAATGATTTCTAATCATACCAACTATTTGAATGTATAATAAAAATAATATGGGCTCACTTTTAGGCAAGAAATCCAGTCATTTAAGACATCAAAAATAAATAGTAAACCATCAAATAAATGATATTTAGAAATAAAGTCACTTATTTGATATTTCGATGTTAGTTTTTAATAAGTTAAATGACTGATTCTCTAGTGAAAAATTGCTCTATATCACTTTTGGTGTATATTCTAATTGTTGGTATTATTAAAAGTTATTTCCAAAGTACGTACTACGTACGAAGTTTTATTCTTGATTCATAAAAGGTAGTTTATATTATTTAAAGTTATTTCTCCTTTAAATTTCCTTAATATTATTATTTAAACAACTACAAAAAGTAATTATTCATAATATAATGGATTTGATGAATATATTCATTATATAATGGTGTCAACTGTCAAACTATCAACTATCAAGTGCACGTAGTAGAGGGAGAAAGTTACGAAATGATTAGAATGGTAGACTTCGAAGACTTCGAGTTGTTTTGTTTGCAAACACTAAAAAAACGTTTCTCAGACTTAAAAAACTAAAAAAGTGTTCTCAAGTGACAACTTCTACTTAAATTAATACTTAAAAGCTAAAATCTAGAATATGATTTTTATTTTTTCTATTACACAAAAAACACTTATTTTACCAAACAATACCAACTTTTACTTTTTAAAATCGTTTTTTCTCAAACACGACCAACCTTTACTATTAAGCACTTTTTCTCAAATCACTTTAAAAGTTTCAAAAGCACTTGTCAGTGGTGTTTGCAAACAAAGCCTTACTAGAATTATAGTGTGACGTCTAATTCATACTACGTACTCCCTCCGTCCCATTTATATTGTCCCAATTCCTATTTACTTGGTCAACACAAATCACTCTTATTTTCTTACTTTATATATCAAGAATTTATCAAATTTGATTCAGGTTTTTGCGACTTTGTAAAGCTTTAAATGTAGTTTCTAAATATGTAATTTTTTTTTTCTTAAAAATAATTCAGGTGCGGATAGGGATCTGTTTGCTTTTCTAAACCGTAAAGAGACAATATAAATGGGACGGAGGTAGTATTAAAAATGTCGTTAAAGCATACTCCGTATTAAAGAGGGGGAGAATTGAAATATTAAAACCCCAATCTTAATAAAAATATATTAATAAAAAAATTCAACTATGAATTTAGTCCTTGTACTATCACGAAAAAATCAATTAGGTCATCATACTTTAAAAAAATCAATCAATCGAACTTTGAAAATATGTTCAATTGAGTCAATTAGCATGTAACCTGCCAGGCTGCCAGGCCAGCAAGTAACGCGCTGACATGGCGGTCCATGTGTGCGCCACATCGATCATTGGTAAATGACTTACGTGTGCGCCACGTAAGCGAAGTCACCGCTGAGTGGGTTGCCACATGAGTGTCACGCCAGCGGGCCGGGTGACTTCTTGACGCGGCGGGTAACATGCTAATGGATTCAATTGAGTGTTTTCACAAAAATTGAAGATTTGATTGATTTTATAATTAGAAATAAGAGGACTTAATTGACTTTTTTGTGATGGTACGAGGATCAAATTGATAGTTTTCCATTAAGAAAATTATGCGGTAAGCTTCAAGGATAGATTGAAGTGCATTCTTAAATACAGTATCACAATACTAAATTTGTATTCGCTCTAGCTATCCCAAATTGATTTGCAAAAATTACTATTTTAATTGTAACAAAATGATTTTCACTTTTTAGTCTTGGTACGGAAAGATGAATAAAGTGATAAACATATCCTTACTTTTACCCATTTTGCATTTATTATATTAAATGCTTCTTTTTGGGAGAAAGGGAAAAATAGTAGGTCCAAATTAAATTAAATTAAAAATATTAACTTCCTTAATTCTTGTTTTAGTCAGCTTTTGCAAATCTAATTGGGACAAGATGGGTACAAATTTAGCATCGCAGTCACTATCTTACAAGGTATAATTTTAAATAATCATGAAGCTACTAAATATAAAAGATCATATTTTCATCCACTGTCTTCATTTTGGCCATATATATTCATCATTATTACATTCAATTTTCAATAGTTTAAAAAATTGGTCATTTTTAATATGGATCTTGATTCTTGAATGCCGATATCAATCCTCCTCCAGTCACTAGTTTTGTTAATTAACCTCGTATACTTTCCCGCATGCACAACAACAAAACATTTTTTCGGATACATCAGTTGTGATTTACGTAAACTAATATATAGAGGTTCCCAACTTGGAACATGTAGATGCATATTTATATGCGACAAAAATAGAAAAACTTTAGATAAGCTTGATTCCGTGTCCACAATAATGCCCCAACCAATAATATTGTAGCATTAATTTAGTGATAGATTAAATAATGAAACTAGTGGCCGGATGATAGGTGCAACGGATTATTTATATATCACTCGAAAGCAAATATGCAATGAATCCTTGCTTATAACTAACAATAAAAACTTAACGGTCAATTAATTAATGTCTATGAAACCAGAAAAGACGGGTTCTCCGGCGAGTGTAGATAAGGCGGAGGACTATTATCCGGTGGTGGTGGCGCTCTTGAGGCTGCTGCTGTTTGTCTCGTTGGCGGTGGCGGTAATGGTCATGGTGAGTAGCAAGCAAACTTACGTTGTTGTGCCCTTCCAGGCAACCCTTGCGGCAAAGTTCAGCTACTCCCCAGCTTTCATGTATGTAAGCTTTTTGTATCTAGATAATTCATTTGTATCCACAAAATTAATTCTCATTTGGTAAAATAACTTTAAATAATACTCTCTCACACAAAGATGTTCTCACATGATTTACTATGTTTGACCGATAATAAAATAAATTGACCGTTGTTCGTATTTACATTTTTATAAAGTCACAAAAAACTCAAATTTAATAAAAATTTGATATATGAAACAAAATATTAAGAATGATAATATGTATATACATTTCGAAAATAGATTTTAATAATATCAACTATTTAAACATATATAACAAAAGTGATGCAGAGTAATTTTTCACTAAAAATCAACCATTCAACTCACCAAAAATTTATATCAAAATATCAAATAAAAGATCATATTTACAAATCATTTATTTAGTGGTTTGATATCAATTTTTTATATCTTCAATGAATTTATTTCTTGTTGAAAAGTGACTCTATATATACTATTTTTTTATGATTCCATATTATTTTTGTTATATGTATTATTAGAAATGATTTCCAAAGCACTCCTTTGTATTATGGTTGGTTCATATATGGGTGATAGCCACTGTGATAGGTGGTGTTATACAAAGTTATTTTTTCTTATATATTAAAGGGTCAGTTACACTTCTCGCCTTAAAAGATTAGATTTTTTTTATTTTGAAAAATAATGACAAATTAATGATTAAAGTGAAGATTTTGTGCCCATAGAAACTAAAGTAACTTTATATGACCGATACGTGATTGTGATAATGACGTTGGATAAAATTTATTATTTGATAATTTAGTGACCATACTAGTAGTTTCACTGACTACTATTACACACAATTTTACACTGAACTGATCAGGGGCGGATGCACGTTTATCTTAATGGGGCACATGCCCCCAACAAAGTCTATGTTTTTAGTTCTACAAAATTATATTTTATCAAGTATAATCATACGTGCCCCCAATAGAAAAACTCTGATGCCCCCAATAAGAAAGGGAGAATGCCTCACGTACGCCAAGAACCAAGCAACGTAATTATTGGGTAACCTAAGATTGTAAGTGAGCAATTGTTTGTTATTTTTAAAATATTTATTGTTTGGAATATTTTATAAATACGAGTAAATAAAAGCAATATTGTACAAATAGGAGTTTAAATTTTAAATTTTCAAAATAAGAGTAACTCTTTGTATCCTACACATGTCATATTTTAATAAGTTTTTCTCATTTAAACAATAAATCATAAAAGAATAAAATATCAAAAATCAAAAACGTAAAAAAGAACATGCGAGCCTTTACTTTTTTTTATAAGTTTTTTAGTTTTTAATTCTTTATGTGGTTTTCTTTATTTAAGTTTTTATTATATACTACTTTGGTCCCATTTTAGTTAGTCATTTTTGACCTTTTTAGTCAAAGATGGGAATCATTGACCAATTACTTTAGTAATTTTATAGTTTAATGATATTATTTTTAACAAATAACATTTTCATGTCATTTTTCATATTCTCAATACTTTGATCTATATTTAAAATACATAATCTATCAAAGTTAAACACTATTGACTAAAAAAATCAAGTTTGACCAACTAAAATGGGACAAAGGGGCTATGATCTTCTTAGTAGTAAGCGTAGGATAGGAAGAGAGAGTATAAATTACTCTTATTTTGATAATATCAAAACAATAATCACATTTTATATTTTGGAATTATTTTATTCCTATTTGGGGCTTTATTCCACTAACTCTAAGCATACACTTTGTACTGCACTATTTAGAATCGTTTGATGACTTTGTTTTTCAGCTTATCAGATTAGCTAGCTTTTTTGGCCAAACACTCAACTTTTGATTTAGCGTTGAATTGTACTCCGTATAATAATAAGAAAAAGTGAGGTTTTTAGTTACTTTTCTGGCTGTATTGGCTGAATTTACTGTAGAGAATCATTTTATTTGTTTTTCATATAATTTCTTCTTTATTTTACTAATAAAATATATTTTAATTTTTTCCCCATAAATCAGCAAAATAAGCCAATCAAGTCACTTCAGCCAGAATTTTATAAATTTCAATAGAATCAGCTAATACAACCCATTTGGGTATTACCAAACAGGCTCTTAGAGTAGCTCCACTATTATATGCATGTTGGCGGTGCCCCCAATAACGAATTTTTCTGTATCCGCCACTGGAACTGATCATGATGATATGCTTATAGTAATTTTTTTTGGCCAAATAATGCTTATAGTAATTTATAATCACATTTTTATTCATATATACTATCGTATATTTTACTTTGGGTTTATATTTAAAGAAATTTCCAATAATTTTTCCCTAATAAAAAAAATAGTTATATTAGTAAAAAATTTAAATGACTTTTATAGATTATTAGTTCTCCATTAGCCTAAGTTTAATTAATGTGAGAGTGAGAATGTTTTTAACAGGACTGCAATTTTCTGGTCGGGTCTAATCTAATACTGCATACTAAGAATTGAATGAACTTCACAAAAAGATTTGACAAGTTTAATACACATTATAATGAACTTTACAAAAGGAAATTTTACAATTGCTACGTAAATAATATTGAATGTACCCTTGACTCACTGAATAAATATGTTTAATCAATTAACATCATCCATCTGCAACAAGCCCTTCAGCATTGGTCACTGCAATAGATTGTACTTTAATGAAACAAATAAAATAATTATTTCGATATATTAGCCGACCCGGAATTCTTTTGGGATTAAGGCTTGGATGTTGTTGTTGTAATTATTATCATCCATCTGCAACAAGCCCTTCAGCATTGGTCACTGCAATAGATTGTGCTTTAATGAAACAAATAAAATAATTATTCCGATATATTAGAAAAAGGAAAATATATAGCTATATATTATTGACAATTGAATGGATTAATTGATAATGCAGATACTTTGTAGCAGCTCTATCTGTGGCTGGCTTCTACAGCATCATCTCCACTGTACTTTCATTCTATAACCTTATTGTTAAGCCTGCTTCCTGCCCAATGCTAATGTCCCGTTTTGTTATCCTGGATGTGGTAAGCTAAGCTCTAAAGATCTTCTCTCTTTTTCAATAACAATAATAATGAAAACACATATCAATTGATCAATGAACTACTTTCAAAGCTGATGCTGGGGATAGTGGCTTCAGCAACAGGAACGGCAGGGGGAGTGGCCTACTTGGGTTTAAACGGAAACTCTCATGTTGGATGGATGAAAGTCTGCAACATTTTCGACGTCTACTGCACACACATTGGGACATCTGTGGCCGTCTCCTTGTTCGCTTCTGTCATACTGGTCATCCTCATCAACCTGTCCATCCACTCCCTCTCCAAGAAAATCCCCAAGTAGCTAAATATCATTTCATTCCATCTGTCAAATGTGTTATAAACCCAACCTGTGTTTGAATCACTTTCATGTGGAAGCATTTATTCTACAATTGCATTGTACCACAATATTGTATAGATCAATTGAGTCATGTGTTTGTACAGAAGGCCTGTCATGAACATTCAAGTGTTTTCAAGTTTCAGATGGTTACTAGAAGATTCAAGTGAGTGATCATCAATTGAGTCAACATTAAAAAACAAGTTTTTAGTCAGGCTTGACTGCATGGTAAAGATACCAATATAACAAAAAGTCATGTAAGGATACAACAACAACAACAACAACAACAACAACAACATCCAAGCCTTAGTCCTAAACGATATTGGGGTCGGCTAACATGAATCGATCGATATATGATATCACCAAAAGGAAAAGAACGAAAATAAAGATAAAAAAGATAAGCTATTATAAAAAAAGATAATATAAAAGAGATGAATATACATATAAAAGATCAAATAAAAAGGATAAAGTAATATTTATATATAAGGATAAAAATATAAAAGAAAAAGGAAAGAAAAAAAAAAGAGGAGAAAAGATGATACAAGATCACTCTTCCACACGAATACCCGCCTTCCATTTTGCTCTCTCCAAAGCCATACTCTCATCCAATCCAAGAAGAAGCATATCACTTCTGACTCCCCTAACCCACGTCTGTTTGGGCCTTCCTCTCCCTCTCTTCCCTACCTCTTCTCCACACATCTCAACTCGTCTTACAGGTGCATCACTCGGTCTTCTATGCACATGACCAAACCACCGTAGGCGTGACTCCCGCATCTTATCTTCAATAGGTGCTACTCCCACCCTTTGTCTAATTGTCTCATTCCTCACGCGGTCCTTTCTAGTATGCCCACACATCCAACGCAGCATGCGCATCTCTGCCACACTCATCTTTTGAATGTGACATTGTTTCACCGCCCAACACTCCGTGCCATACAGTAATGCAGGCCTAATTGCTGTCCTATAAAATTTACCCTTCAGTCTAGTCGGCATACCTCGATCGCATAGAAATCCTGACGCACTCTTCCACTTCATCCACCATGTTCTGATTCTATGGGATACATCTCCATCTAACTCACCGTCCTTCTGAATTATGGAGCCCAAGTAACGGAACATATCGCTGACCGGTATCTCCTTACCATCTAAAGTAATTCCGCTATTACCACTGCTTCTACCTCCACCAAACTTGCACTCCATGTACTCTGTCTTGCTTCTACTTAGTCTGAAACCCTTGTTCTCCAATGTCTGTTGCCATACTTCCAACTTTGCTTTAACCCCTGATTGCGTCTCATCAATCAATACAATATCGTCGGCAAACATCATGCACCACGGTATATCGTCTTGAATTGACTTTGTAAGTTCATCCATGACTATGGCAAATAAAAAAGGGCTCAGAGTCGATCCTTGGTGCACTCCGATAGTAATAGGGAACTCCGCAGTCCTCCCTACACTAGTACGAACACTTGTAGTACTATCCTCATACATATCCATGATGATGCTGATATACTTGCGTGAAATGCCTTTTCTAGTTAAGGCCCACCAAAGAACTTCTCGAGGTACCCTATCATATGCCTTTTCTAAGTCAATGAACACTAAATGCAAATCCTTGAGAGCGTCTCTATACTTCTCCATAAGTTGCCGAAGAAGGTGAATAGCCTCAGTCATGTAAGGATGTTTTGAGAAATTGTATTACATTACATTAAATTATTCATGTTTTATTATGTAATTTACCGTGATGAATTTACACTCTTTTTTATTTCGAAAACTCATTCAAAGAATGAAATAATATACCATGCATCACATGGGTGCTATACATAGTAATATATTATAAGAGCATTTTAAGCTCAGACAAATGATCGCAATAAGCTTCACAGACGAAATGCTAAATGTATGAGCACTTTAAAAGTGCATGTTAAGCCACTCAACAGTCAACATCAACAACAGACAGCAGCCTCAATTCTTAATGTCATACACAATAGACATTAAATCGCCCATGTAGGTGTACAGAAAGAAAAATAATGGTGTATTGGTGTTTTCTCTGCACCAGTTTGAAATTTTATACAAGAAATGGAGAAGTCATAAAGATTGGTGAAATGGTACGTGTTGAGAAGTTTCAATTTCCAAAATAAAAGGGTGAAACTGGAAGAAGATTAGAAAATGGTTTGCTCCCTTAATTCTCGACCCGCCATTCAATCCCTGATCACCTTCTCAAAGAAATCTTCCAAAGTGATGCCATTTCCATAACTTGGAGTCCCCTTTCTCAGGATCCCAAACCAATATACTCTCGGCCGCGTAGAACCTTCCAATCTTTCCAAACTCAGATGCATCTTCCAGCGAACAAGTCAAGAAGCCAGATTGCAAAGTCCATGATTTGGATTGGTACCTTTACAAATTTGTGTTTCTTCCTTGATAACCTGAACAACATTTCCCCTTGCTCCAATGGTGTCAATGCCTTCCCAGGACCACCAACAGGTAAAACCCGGTTGATTTTGTCATCACTCAGTGCACAGTCTGCTATGAATGACGCCAAATCCTAATATTACATAGGTCGGAGTGATTTTTGGGGTGAAAAGTTTAAATAAGGCTTACTCATACAAAGTAATATTGGTATTTAAACAATTAAACATACACTACTAAGAAAATATTGGTACAAACTTGCAACCTTTGTACTAACTGTAGTTCTACCAACTATTATTTTATATTTAGTTTATCTTTGTTAAAACCAGCTATAACATTGGACAATATTTCACCATGAAACTGCTACATATTGAAACAAATGACACAACATAAATGTATATAGCCGCACTTTAAGATAGTGGGTAATGTTGAGTGTACCATCAATTAGGCGACTCTAATTAATTCTCTAATTGGTATGTTGAACCCGCTAATTTAGATCAGATATTTGAAGCTTGATTAGGTGAGTTATTCTATGCCTCATGGATCCACCATCGGTTATGTTATCCTTCATAAAGCCAAGCCCGGCATTAATTGATTGGGTTTCTTAGTATTATTTATTGTCTTGTAAGTTGTAATTATGATATTACTAAGCCTTGTAAGTTGTAGCTAATCGGCTATGGCGAGATTAATTCTCGTGCTCTTCTATTAGTAATGACACTACAAAAAAACAGCGCTATAGTCACGGATTTTAGTCACGGATTTCGTCCGTGACTAGTTTAGTCACGGTCTAGTCACGGATTTGTCACGGAATTTTTAAAAAAAAAATAGTCACGGTCAGGGCCGTGACTATGACCGTGACTAACATTAGTCACGGTCCATGACCGTGACTTAATTTCTCCGATAGGCCAATTCCCGTTTCCGGCGCAGTTTTTTTGATTCCGATGATTTAGTCACGGCCAAATCCGTGACTATGCCCGTGACTATAATTAAAATTTAATTTTTTTTCAACTCCCTTGGTTAATTCGCAACGGCATTATGTACGGATAATTGTAGTCACGGCCATATCCGTGACTAGTTCCGTGACTATGTTGATTAACACGTCATTTACACGTAATTAACACGTGTTGGACGCGTGTTGGACACGGTTTTGCTTAGTGACGGACAAATCCGTGACTAAGTCCGTGACTAAATTTTTTATATATGCAGGAGCAGCTCATTCATTCAACAGAACCACACCAATTCATTCCCAGTATATACAGTATCCGTAGATCGAAGGATGTAGTCTATCTTCTATCATTTTCCCTGTTTATGCAGATAAGGTATGTTATTTGAATTATAATTTTTATTTAGAATTAGTTGGTTCAATTTAAATTATTAAAACTATTAAATTAGTGAGGTTGTTAATTAATTAACAACATGTTTTAACTATAAGCGTAGTAATGTCATAAATTAGAATTAGTTAAACTTTAGTGAATTGTTATATTATTGGGTTGAATTTGGTCATATTATTTAATTTAGTGAATTGTTAATTGTGTATTACTAATAAGATTAAATGTCATTAACGTAATAATTTAGTGTAGGTTTAAACGTAGGTTTACAAAAATAATTTAATTAAAATTCGTTTGCTAAACGTAGGTTTGAACGTAGCTATTGATGTGTTAATTAAGTTAAATTAGGTAGCTAAACGTAAGTTTAAACGTAGTGATGCATTAAAAGGGGACGGAATGAACTAGTTAAATTTAGTTAAATTTAACTAAATGAATTAGTTAGATTTAATTAAACGTATGTTTAATATAGTGAAATTATCTGCATTATTGTGCATTAGGGGACATATATATTGTGCATAACTAAGATGTGAATTCTGTGCATTTCATTTAAAAAAAGTGAAAATTAGTTGATTATATTTAGTGAAATAAATTACTTAAAATTGTGTGCATTGCATTTCATCTAATTTTTTATCATAATATTCAGGCATAATGTATAAAAAAAATAGAAGTTGGATGTATGATAAAGATGCGGTATTGTACGGAATGCAATCAAATTTTCTCGAGGGAGTCGGAGAATTTATTGAATTTGCACTTGAACATCCGGCTTATATGAGTGGTGATAAAATAAGATGTCCATGTTCAAAGTGTAAAAATCTCAAATTTAAAGACCCACACGAAGTTGGGTATGATTTGTACGCGGTCGGTTTTGTTCCCAATTATTATAATTGGACTTCTCACGGTGAACCTTTGGATCCATCTGTTATACCACAAACGGTAGGTTCGTCTCGTTACGTCCCTCCAGAGATGAGTGCGTGGGGAGACCGTGCTGAAATGAGGTGGGACCAACAAATGGTATATGACGCATACGGTGTACCGTCTCAATTCAACCCCCCACAACCACCTAACGACCCCCCTGAAGCCTCAACCTCGTATCAACCAGATGCGGATGAAAATCCGACATTTTATCAACCTTATGTGGATGAAGGTTTGGCTGAGAGATTTCAGGATGTTCTAAAAGCTGTCGACCAACCTCTGTATGCTGATTGTGAGGGATACTCTCAGCTATCCGCTGTTACTGAGTTCATGAACATAAAAGCCGAATACAGTCTCCCTGAAACTTGCATGAATAGAGTCTTGCAGTCAGTAGGAGGGATGCTACCGCGAGATCATACCCTTCCCGATTCATATTACCACATGAAGCAGTTAATGTCTAAGTTGGGGCTACCTTGTGTTGAAATTGATGCGTGCCCGGAAGGATGTATGTTGTTCTGGAAGGAGGATGAGGCACTTGAGTTCTGCAAGTTCTGTGGTGGAGACAGATACAAACCTGTTCGTCAAAATAAAAAGAAACCACGACATAGGTCTGCACTGTCTAAACTGTATTACCTCCCAATAGCTCCTCGACTGCAAAGGATGTACGCTTCGACTGCTACTGCGAAACACATGACATGGCATGTTGAGCACGAAACCAACGAGGGTATGATGGCTCACCCTTCGGACTGTGAAGCCTGGAGACACTTTGACCGCTGTCATCCTCAGTTTGCTATGGAGCCACGAAATGTGCGGCTGGGATTGTGCTCAGATGGATTTGCTCCTTTTGGCAGGTTTGGCAAGAACTATTCATGTTGGCCGGTCATGTTAACACCTTACAATCTCCCTCCCGACATGTGCATGAAAAGTCATTTCATCTTTTTGTCTTTAATTTGTCCGGGTTCCAAGGATCCTGGGCGAAAGATAGACATTTATCTCCAACCCCTTATCGAGGAGATGAAAGAACTGTGGGCCGTTGGGACACCAACTTATGATGTTTCATCAGATAAAATGTTTATCATGAAAGCTGCCATCATTTGGACCATTAGCGACTTCCCTGCCTATGGCATGCTTTCGGGATGGAGCACACACGGTCTGATGGGATGTCCGATATGCATGGAGAAATCAGGTGCCAACTGGCTCAGTTACAGCAAAAAAGGAAGTTACTTTGATTGTCACCGCAAGTTTCTCCCGGAAAGGCACCGATATCGAAAGGACAAGAAGTCTTTCATTAGAGGCAGAGCGGTTCGAGAGAGCCCACCCCCGAGATTCTGGAACTTGAGATGCCTTCTTGTGCGAAAAAATTGACATGCGTTCTGTTCCGTTGCACATGGGTCGACCCCACACGTGGCGTGCGCAAAAATCCGAAGTATAATATGATTGACGTCAACCTCTCTCGTGTGTACCCAAAAAATGAGCCTTTCATACTCGCCCAACAAGCAGCGCAGATTTATTATGCAGAATATCCTTCAACAAGGCGGACACAGAATCCTTGGGTGTGTGCATGTCCTGTCCGTCCGAACAAAATAAAATCACAAACTCAACACAAGGACGTTGATCTAGATGCTTTTCAGCAACAATTTTTCCAACCTCCGCCTATTGTTGAGACGGTCAACTATAACCTCCAATTAAGTGATCCAAATGGCGGACGTGTTGAAGTCATGCCAGAAACGCACCTTCCGGACCCAACCATTCCATCTGAGCGCGAAATTGAGGAAATGTATGTAGCACAACAAAATGCTCAATATCAGGAAGAAGGTGAATGGATAGACGGTTCAGATACAGAAGAAGATACTGTATATGTAGAAAATGACGATTCTGATAGCGAATAATTGTGCTGTTGTAATTTCAATTTTATTGACTTCTAATATTTGTGCAGATTTCTTCATCATTATATTACTCCAACAATATTTGAATTTTTTTCTATCTTTATCATTATTATTTATGAACAAAAAATTACTCCATATTAATTCAACCACAACAAGTTTTTTATATCCATATTATAAATTCAAAATAAAATTTTTCACAATTCAAAGTTTGAAAATTAAAATTTACCCAATACAAAATATGAAATTACTCTATATTATATTCTTTTATTTTCAAATTCGAAAATTCAAATATTATTTTTGATTTTTCTAAATTCGAAAATTTATTTTAATAATTTTTAATAATTCGAAATTCGAAAATTAATTTTAATAATTCTAAGTCTATTCGAAAATTAACAAAATTCGAAAATTAAAAAAACAGTAATCTACTTTTACTAATCTGAATATTATAATAAATTTAGATATTAATAAACAACTAACAGATATTTATTTATCAAATTTCAAAGATAAATACAAAACACACAATGAAATTGTCACATATTATTTATTAAACAACTAACATAGATTTATTTATTACATTAGCCTAACTAACATTATTCATTCCTCAATCGGAAACTTTCAAGAGGCCTAGCCCACAACTCCTGAATTTTCATTCGAGCTTCTTCGTTGATCGGGTCCATATACTCTGAAACTTCTTGTGCACGTTGAAGCATCCGACACAAATTTCTTGCTTTTGACTTGCCCAACGAGTCGGATTCTTCATCTTTATAATCGCCAAAACTTTCAAGGGGTCTAGACATCAACTCCTTGATTCTCTCGTATGCTTCCACGGTTTTCGGCTCCATAAGCTCTGTAATCAGCTTAAGTCGTTTCATATCTCTACACATCGAATCCCAGTCAATTGGACCTCTATTAGCCATTTTTTTTTACAGTTCAGTCTTGGGCCGGAGAAAGATTATTTATACTAAAAAATTTCAAGTTGTCACGGTCTTAGTCACGGTCAGGACCGTGACTAAACCCTTCGTAAATGCCGAAGTCAGTCCGCCGGTCAGAGTGGCGCTGACAATAATAGTCACGGTCAGAACCGTGACTATGACCGTGACTATTTTCAAATTTTGAAAATAGTCACGGTCATAGTCACGGTTCTGACCGTGACTATTCTGATTAATGGCGACTCTGACCGTCGGCACTGACATCGTCACTTACGAAGGGTTTAGTCACGGTCCTGACCGTGACTATGACCGTGACTAAACCCTTATATAAAACGAACACTTAGCGTTTTTTTTAAAAACCTACGCACCCAACTCCCAAACCCTAACTTCCTCTTCCTTCTCTCTTCCCTCTCTTCCAGTTTAGACAGTGCCGCCGCCGCCTAGCCGTCCGCCGTCAGCCGCCTAGCTGTCCGCCGTCGCCGCCTAGCTGCCGCCGTCAACGCCTAGCCGTCCGCCGTCGTCCTCCGGCCGCCTTCGTCCACCTTCTTCCGTCGGCCCTTCTTCAGTCAAGGTTATGTGTTTGTTCATCTTATTTGATTAAAATTCCAATATTTGATTAAAATTCCAAAAATGCATGATTGTATACTCAAATGCATGATAAGATGCACGAATTTTAGTTTCATATCATTTTGTAATCTTCAAAAGTTATATGTATGATTTATTATATGCATGATTTGTAGTTTTGCATGTTAATTTCATTTTATATGTTTCGTATGCATGATTAATATATGTTAAATGTAGATTATTTATATGTTAATATATGTAGATTTTTTCGTATGCAAAAAAAACTTGGCAAAACACTGTTTTAGTTTATATGTTTCATATGCATGATATGATTTATATGTTTTGTATGCATGATAATTATGTTTAAATGATTTAAATTATTATATGTGTAGTATATGTTCTTATGCATGATTAATAATATTTAATATATATGATTAGTGTGTGATATGCATGCCTCTCAATGGTTAACCCGAAATATTAAAAAAAAAAATTGCCCCCTCATGTTAAGCTTTCAAAAACTTAACATGTTTAATTCTAATTTTACAAATTTTTATAAACAAATTTTATAAAAACAAATTTTACAAAAACAAATTTTTGTAAAAACTGTTTTAATAAAAAGTGTTTTTATAAAAACTGTGTTTATAAAAACTGTTTTTATACAAACTGTTTTAATATAAACTGTTTTTATAATTTATCTAAAAAAACTGTTTTTACAAAAATTGATATATATAAACTGTTTTATATAAAATGTTTTATTAAACAGATTTTTGTAAAAAACAGTTTTTATAAAAACTGTTTTAATAAAAAGTGTTTTTATGAAAACTGTTTTTATTAAAACTGTGTTTATAAAAACTGTTTTTATACAAACTGTTTTTATATAAACTGTTTTTAAAATTAATCTAATAAAAACTGTTTTTATAAAAACTGTTTTTAATAAAAACTGTTTTTATACAAACTGTTTTAATATAAACTGTTTTTATAATTTATCTAAAAAAACCGGTTTTACAAAAATTGATATATACAAACTGTTTTATATAAAATGTTTTATTAAACAGATTTTTGTAAAACAGTATTTATAAAAACTGTATTTATAATAACTGTTTTTATAAAAACTGTATTTATAATAACTGTATTTATTAAAAAACAGTATTTATAAAAACTGTTTTAATATAAAGTGTTTTTATAAAAACTGTATTTATAATAACTGTTTTTATAAAAACTGTTTTAATAAAAATTGTTTTAGTAAAAACTGTTTTAATAACAACTGTTTTAAAAACTCTTTTATTAAACAGATTATTTTTAAAAATAGTTTTTTGTAAAACTTGATTTAACAAACTGTTTTAAATTTATTTTAAAATGATATATCTAAAACATAAAAAAATGATCTCCTCTCATGTAAACTTTGCAAAAAGTTTAACATGTTACCTCCAAGTGCAATTTATTACCAAATTATTTAAGAACTTATTATGAAAAAATATGGACCCCTCATATTAAACTAAAAATAGTTTAATATGCTATACACATTTTCAATTAATAATACTTGTATAAATTTTTATAGTAAAAAATAATAAATATACCCCAAACTTTAATGGACCTTTAGTAAGCACACCTCAAACTTTTATAAGCGTTCTAACAAAAAACAAAATAAATTAATATATTTTAGATGAGCAACGAACAATCGACCTCGGCTCCCCGCCCTAACCATGCGCCTATGTCCGAAGCGGAGCGCAACAATGATGGAGCTGTTTGGGTGACGCCTGCAGAAGTTCTTTTGTAAGTAGTTATGAAAAACCTTATTTTCAATAATTTTATATAATGTTAAATAATCAAACCAAATCTTATATAAATAAATACTATTAATTTTTTTAAGTGACGAACAAGTGTTCACGGGCATCAAAAACATCATCGGAGGACACTTTCTTGGCACTTGGGCCACACTGTCAGATGTTGACCCCAAGGTTCGCGAACTATGGTGGAACCTGTTCAAGGTAAAAATAAATGAATGTTCCCTTCCTGATTGTATTGGCCTAATATATACCTGGTGATTAATTAATCCAATTTGTTTTAATAAAGGCTCGCTATCGTTGGACTCACGCACACGGTGCCGATATTCTTAAAGCCTACAATGCTAGGATTTCGACCTGGCTTCGCGCCACTTTTAAACGGGCGCGAAAAAGTGGGAAAAAGCCTAGATGGGTTTCGGATGAAGTGTGGTCCAACCTTTGTCGCCACTGGTCTTCTGATCCGAAATTCTTGGCCAGAAGTGAATCCGGTAAGAAAAACCGGATGTCCGAGAAGGCCTTGGAGATGCAGTGGCACGGAGGTCGTAAATCTCAGAATGCCCATAAAGAAACTCTTGTAAGTGCTATTCAAAAAACCTTACAACATCACATTCCTTTATTATAAAAAATTTAATTTAAGTCTTTTTCACACCATTTAGGCTGGTCCTGAGAAGAAGAAGGTTGATGTTCTCCGGCTCGTCAAGCATTGCTGGACGAAGCACGGCGAGGAATCTGAAGCCGATTTGCCACCCCGCCTCGCTGACTTCGAAGTATGTAACATCATATTTTGTTATTTAGTAACATTTAAAATCTAAGTATGTAGCATTTAAAAAATCTTTTTGAAAATGCAGACGAAGTACAACGAATCCCTCGACAGGCAGCGTGCGGCACGAGGCTTGACCCAGGAGGACGACCTCGATTCCGATGCGGATGATGAGGCGGCCATTGAGGCGGCCGGGGTTTACAAGGGCCGGGTTCCGTGCTTAGGGGCCGAGGGGCAACGGATTTTGTATGATCGAAGCACCGGCGCTTCCTCTTCTCGGTCAAGGCGGGGAGAAGATCCCCGTATTGCCACAATGCAGCGTGAACTGGAGGACCACGAACGGCGATGGGAGGAGCAGCGGAAAGCAGATGCTGCTACAAAAGCCCGGTTGGAGGAGATGGAACGGTACATGCGTGCTGCATTCCAGCCTCCGCAACAGCCTTTTCCTCCCCCGTACGTATTCCACCCTGAGCAAACTCCTCAAGTTCCGCACATGGGCGGTATGGGATTTTTCCCCAACTCCGGATATGGTGGCATGCCTATGATCTCCCCGAATTTCGGTTCTATGTCCTTTGATTTTGCGAGGTCATCCGGAGGAGGTAGTGGCACGCCGAGCCACGGAGGCCGAGGAGCACCCCGAGGAGGACCCCGAGGAGCACCCCGAGGAGGAACCCGAGTTGACCCTGAAGACCCCCCCCGTGAACCCAGATGAGTTTCTTGTTGATGATGAAGAAGAAGAAGAAGAAGAAGAAGAAAATCCCAATTTTTATCATAATGGAGTCCCACGGGACATGTAATCATCATACATTTATTATTTGTTGTATTTCAAAACTTTTAAAAGTTTGTCACAATATTTATTGAATTTGTTGTATGTCTTTATTCTTAAAATGTATTTATTTTAAAAAAAATAGTATAATATTTTCAATAACTCATTTTTTAAAAAACATTTTGAAATTTAATTTGTAAACTTCCGTTTTTAAAAAAGTAATTTTTAAAAAAATTTAAAAAAAAAAAAACGAAAACTGGATTTTTTTTTTAAAAAAACAAAAAAAGTAGTCACGGGCTTATCCGTGACTATTATTAATCCGAAATTATTATTTTTTTAAATAAAAAAATAATTAGTCACGGTCGACAACCGTGACTAATTTCAAAATTTTAAATTACCGCCGCGGGCGGTCTTTTACTCAATTTGAAAATTTGAAATATTAGTCACGGTCCAAAGCCGTGACTACTAAAATTAATTTTTAAAAAAAAACTTAGTCACGGTTTCTGACCGTGACTAATACGCCGGAGTGGGGTTCCGGCGGGTATTATAGTCACGGCTTCTGACCGTGACTAGTCCGTGACTAAATTTAGTCACGGTCCGTTGGACGTGACTTCAATTTAGTCACGCCCATTAAGTCACGGATTTAGTCACGACCAGCGACCGTGACTACATCATTTAGTCACGGAAAAATTGAACTGCTGTCCGTGACTAAGTCCGTGACTACGACCGTGTTTTTTTGTAGTGTGATTTCATGACAACCTTCAATAAGCTTTGTCAATCTATTCATCAGAATCTTTCTTAATCCTCACATTGCAATCTAGTACTGTAACACACTTTACCATTGTTTTCAACCTTACTTGGTAATGGCCTTTTAAACTTGGTATTGTCATCAACTCATCAATGGTGAACAAATAATGCAACCACTTCAAGTCGTACAAATAACACATGATTACTAAAGTAAAAGACTCTTAATAGTTGTAAGTGCATATGTTGATCAATGTCAAAATATTGTAGAGTAGAGACCATAAAGGGAAAGACATGAACCATGGAGAAAATTCACATTCAATTCTCTACACAGGGAATCATCTCCAATCACGAAGCCCCTCGTAAAAGCAATGGCTACTCTGAAACTCCAAGGAATTCAGCAAAGCTACGATATTTAGGCTCCCATCCTAATTCAGCACGCGTTTTTGAGTTGTTTAACTTCTTGCCTAGTGGATCACTTGTTCCTGCAGATTAAAAAACATAGGCCAATGCTAAACTGCTAGAATCAAACCATGTGTTTTTGTTGCTTCAAAGGACACTAATGTAATTTTAGGTGTGGATAAAGTATCAATGTCTTTCATTTAATAGCCCCCCCCCCCCCCCCCACACACCCACACACCACTGAAGATTAGATTTGTGTCCACTCTATATCTACCACAGAAAGGAAACAAATGCTCACCTGTGAATCCCTTAAACTTCTGGCTATACTTCCCACTTTTATTAACCAGGTCCATCACTTGTTGCCTGAAAAGATGGACATCAATGTTCAGATGTCCGGTACAGCACAAACTAGGTGTTGAGAGACTTGAGAGTATAGAGTGCAATTGTGAATGCAACCCTGCTATAAAAGGTTTTGAGCCACCTCAATACAAAAGAGTAACAACTCAGAAGGATTAACCTGGACACTGGGTGATTGTCACAACCCAAAAAGATCCGACCACGGAATTTCTTTTTCAAGATGAGAACAGCGAGAGAAGCTGCATCCTGTCAGAAAAAAGGACAAATAAAAAACATTATATCAAACATGGCAGGGCTAACTCAGATACGAGGATAATACTATGGATTTTTACACTTTTGAATTGGAGGGAGAAGGAAATGAATTATAAAGGAGAGAATGTACCGGATCAAACTCTGTTTGGTTGCAAATAAGTTTATAAAAGGAACAATTTATAAACTACTATAAGTTTCTCTTGTTTGGACTACAAGGAAACGGAGGGAAAGTATTAAAATTTGCATCAATAGTTACTACTGTATCATTGTAATTTTAATTAAGACAAAAAGGTTTTGTCTTTGAGGGCAATGTTAGAGCAGGGGAAGCATCCCCACAACCATTTGTTTACTCCCTAGCCAAACAACATAAATGTGATTGTGCCTTTCATTACCACTCCTTTTCCTACAATTCCATTCATCCAAACACACTGTAATAGGAAATAGAGAGCAGGAGTCTCAAATTTTTTTTGGGTGAGCATACAAGTTAATTTTAGAAGGGGAGCCTCAGCGCACTGGTTAAGGTGTTGTTGTGTTACCGAGAGGTCACAAGTTCAAGTCTTGGGAGCAGCCTCTTGTCAAAATTTTACAGGGGGGAACTTGCTCCTTATACACCCTTGTAGTGGGACACTTTCTCAAACTTTCGCCTTGCAGGGATGCCTCCGTGCACCAGGCTGCCCTTTTTTATGCAAGTTAATTCAGGAAGACTCACCTCATAGTGTATAAGATTGACAATGTGATCTCCACCAAAATCTGAAGTTCCTTTACTTAACCAGTAGGTATGAGCACCTCTATCGGCTTTGTATAAACAGTAGTTAAGGTAAATGTGAATAAGCAAAATCTTTAGAAAAACATGTAAGGTATTTAAACATGCCAAGGCACTAAGAGTCCATAACTAAGGATATGTAAAGTCCAGCCAGTCTTAGAACACAGCCACCATATTCCAGTGCAGCTTTTTCTGCCTTTAGAAGAACATCAGTCCTAGGGCTCGTTCCTATCGGCACAACTGGGGTATCCTGAAGATATGCATTGAAGTAAATGAAAATTAAAAAAATATTAACAACACGATATGCATTTAAAGACTGGAAAATCATGTGTTTTATTATTTCCTTACAGTCCAGATGCCTGTCTGTAAAGTGCAGTTTTAAAGAATAATAAACAGTTTATTGCACAGCTAGGTGTTATGTTAGACATAAAACCTCATCACATGGCCCATTGTCATGGCAATCATATGGTGCGGAACTTGAGGTGAACATGAAAGAACCTTCAGCATTCCATTTCAATGCAGCCTCCCTGTAAGTTTACATTATACAGAATGAGAAATCAATCCCAGGTGACTATACTTTCAGAAGCAAGACATACTCTGGTAATCACAAATGGTACACATGAATTTCCATATACATACACAAGCTATAATTAAGTGCAGCCAAGAACTGTATTTATATGAAAAGCACAGCTCTGGTTCCTACCTGACATCAGCAGGATAATCTTCAGTGCGGGACGGAGGAGCACAGAAAATAACATAAGGGAACTTGATAGAAAGCTTGGTTTCTTTCAAAGTTGGTTTAATACCCATTTGGATCAGTTCATCATGATGATCAGCGGTCATTGTTTGTCCAAAAATTTGACAACCTGGGTGTTCCTGCAACATGTCAGAAGTTGAGCAAATTCTATATATGTGTATATATATCTTCCAAACCAAATATATGACAACTAATCTCGTATAAGACATTTATAGGTTTCACTTTTGCTTCTCATAAACCAAAAAACATGCAAGCATACTAAAAACATTTACCCATCTGCCTATCAAAGAGAGGCATCACCGCATCAGAGCAAAATTGTGTTACGAATCAATTTAAGAAACATGGAGCAGTAATACCATCATCTAAAGTGCACCCATGCCACTTAACTAAATGTATAAAAATGATTTTAGTTGTTGTCATACTCATTTGGCACAAAACATTTTTCGTTATGATTTTGATCTTTCTTCTACACTTTCATAACTATATCACTCCTTATACCTCACTACCATCATCATATCACTGTAGGTAGAAACAACACTTGTCTACATTGTTTTTAAAAAATGTACAGAAGGTTCCTTAACTATTGCTTTTGATGCATTTTTGGCATCTCAACTTTGAATGAAGCAAACTAGTATCTTAATTCATTTAAGTCTCTAAATCGAAGGTAACATTTCATATTTTGACCAAAACCATCCCGCTTGGGCCTTGGCAACCTAAATTCTTAGTGCATTTCTAAAAAAATGCCCAATGAATTAGTCCATACCATGAACATTACAAAACACCATACCATATAGCTGCCCAAAGATATTGCAATTGGTGTCTGGCCAAGATCGACCTCGGCAACTCATTCATTGACCAATTAGAAATATTTTGTTCAGGATGTACATGAAATTCAGGATGGGTACCGTAGGTTGAGATAATTCCATGCATTGACGTGCTTGAAATGGATACCCAAAAAATTAATGCGACATTTACCATCAATTTTGCTGCTGCAAATTTTATGAACAGTTTTTCCCCATTGTGCTTAACTTCACGATCAGAAGCGTAGAAACTATACCTCTCTCCATTTTTCAGCGACTAAACGCCCTAGCACACCAGGTCCGACGATGAGCAAGTCATTTTCCCCACTTGTGACAGCTTCATTATCTAAAATGGAATCGAAAAAAGCGATCAAACCCCAATAAAGACGTTAAATGAGCAAGACCGGAACAGAGATACTACCACTAGCAGAAGAATAAGCTTTAGCGGCGAGAGACACGTCCATAGAAGGCGAGTAATTGATAGAAGCAAAACTGCTAGCCGATAAAGTTAGAAATGAGAGTGGGTTTCTGCAATTGAGCTCTGCGGGGCCCAAGCGAGGAGTAATCCCTATCCTCTTGTCAGTGGCAAGTGTGATGGAGAGCGGCAGGCATACTCTGCTGCTCATTCTTGTTTGTTGTGACCGGATAAATGTTACGGAGTACCAAAGTTCCCAAAGGTTAATCCCTAACCCCAAAAACTATAACTTTATTGCTTATTCTTATTTTATTTATCAAAAAAATTCAAATCAAATTAGATCAGAAAAATTCAGATCAAATCAGTTCAGATCAGATCAGAAAGATTCAGATCAGATCAGAAGCATTCAGATCAGATCAGGAACATTCAGATCAGATCAGAAAAGTTCAGACATGATTTATTACGTTTATTATAATAATAATTATCATAATATTAATAATAATTATAATTATTATTATTACTATTATTCTTGTTGTTGTTATTGTAATTATTATTATAATTACTATTATTATTGATATTGTTATTATTATTAGTATTATTATTATTAGTAATATTATTATATTATTATTACTACTATTATTACTATGATTACTATGATTATTATTATTATGATATTTATTATTATTATGATTATTATTATTCTTATTACTATTATGGTGGTTGTTGTTATTGTTATTAGTTTTGTTTTTATTATTATTACAGTATATTATATGGAGTAATTACAATTAAAATTATAGAAATATATATTATAATTATAATTATAATTATAGAAATAACTATAACTAAAAATATAATTACAATAATAATTATAGCTATATTCATAACTAGTGTAATACGTATAATAATTATACCTATTATAATTATGATTATAATTATAATTATAATTTTTTTATAATTATGATTATAATTATAATTATATTTAAATTATATATTTGTAATTACATTTATAATTATAGTAATTATAATTATAATTTTAGAAATATTCAAATCAGATCAGATCATAAAGATTCAGATCAGATCAGAAGGATTCAGATTAGATCAGAAACATTCAGATTAGATCAGGAACATTCAGATCAGATCAAGAACATTCAGATCAGATCAGAAAGATTCAGATCAAATCAGAACTTAAAAAATTCAGATCAGAAACATTCAGATCAGGTGAAGAGAACAGCTTCTTAGTCCATTGATGCTGGATCTTGTATCAGTGTGCATCAGAGTTCCAATATAGCAAAAAGATGTAACCTACATACGATCGTTGCAGATTTTGATCATTGATCAATGTTTTAACTTTCTTACCACTTAACCAAATGAGCTACTTGCGCGGGTTGGATAGATGTTACCAAAAAATTATGACAAGGCAGTGTTCCTGTATCACATGGACTGTCAGATCACGGGTACAGAATGTTAAACACGTACTCGTAGTATATAGCAGTCGGGGATATTCATTGTATTCTTACTTCCACGATTAGAAATTCAGAATAAACTCATGTTTACATATAGTACTATAGTGTACGGTTTTGTTCATGGCTTGAGCAGTGATTTAACGATCCAATACACATTGACACTGCGCTCTGACGATGACTAACGACAAAGTGAACCCAACTGGACACGGAAACCAAATGCAAAACAAACAAGGACGACGGAAGATCAATGATATCTCTTCCCCATATTACCTTTCGAGTTCTGATTTTCCAAGACTCAACATTTGTGGCATGGTTCTCAAAGGAGAGGAAAATTACCGTGAATGGTCGACGACAATGAAGGGCAAAACGAAAAGTAGGGTTTATCGATGGGAGCATAAAACAGCCAACGAAGAGTCAAGAGGATTTGGAGGATTGGTTCACAGTGAATTCTATATATGATTATTGGTTGGTTCATGACTTCAATCGAATCATCACTACGAACCAATCTGACCTACTTCGACAGTGCAGTAGAGTTTCCAGAGGATCTCAAAGCACGTTTGGTCGTGGGTGATGCCATGAGGACGCATGAATTGAAGCGATCCATTAGAGGGTGCGGCCAGAAGGGTAAGTCCATTACTGCGTACTTTGAGAAGCTTAAGGCCCTTTGAGATGACTATGATGGCTATGGTTTCAATCGGAATGAACATGTGGAGGATGCACTTGTGATCTCACTAAGCAATATCTCAAGCACATTGAAACTGAGGAGTGTTGCGCTCAAATATTTTGAGTCGAGATGAACTGCCATCCTTGACTAGAGTGCATCAAAGTGTAATCCAAAAAGAAAGGCATAGGAATATGGTCAAAGGCAGAGAAGAGAGAACTGATGTCATGGCGTTTGCGGCAAGATCTGGATCTTTTGCAACTAGGGGAGAAGACCAGAGAAGTGCACATTCTGTCACAAAATAGGGCACGTCGTTCATAATTGTTTCAAGAAAACAAGACGGTACCCGGAATGGTGGTTTGACAATCTCAGTCGGGGACGTGGTAATGTGGACGAGAGAGAGGTAATGTGGTTGTTCATGTCATCTTCGGTGAACCAAGTGATGGTGAGACAACAAAGGGTAGTGCTAAAATTGTGCCAACCAAAGTTCCAGGCTTCTCTGATGAGCAATGGAAATCTTTTTTTCAGCTAGTTGAAAATTGTAAGCAACAATCAAAGGAAGAAAAACTCTCAGATGTGGCAAATGGCTCCTCAATTCCGGAGCTTCTTACCATATGACAGGTAGTCCACATCTGATTGACAAAATAGAAAAATTGAATCCTGTCCCGGTTAGTATACCAAGGATGTTTTCTTTTGGACTGTTTTCAGTCTCAGACCAGATCAGACCAGATCAGACTTGACTTCCGTAGTTATAAAATACACAGAGACCACACATTTACTAGACCTGACCTGACCAGACTAGACCAGCAAATTTCAGTCCAAAAGTAAACATTCCAAATGGGAAAATAACATATGTGACATTTGTGGAGTCGTACACTTGAGTCCGACAATACATTCAAAATATGTACTCTTAGTACCGGGGTTGAAATGCAATTTAATCTTGGTAGCATAATTAATTGACCGTTTGAAATGTGATATTTATTTTACTAATGATTTATGTGTGATATAGGGCCTACCTACGAGGATGCCGATTGGAGTGAGTAAACGAAACGGGGGAGTTTATTATTTTCACTATCTGAACCACATTGGAGCTCATGCAATCAAGACCACACAATCAGGTGATCTGTGACATTCAAGATTATTAGGGCATCCATCCAAGACACTATTATGTATAGTTAATAATTTGAACAATTCTTTTTTTAAAGTTGATGTAAATAATGTTTAATTTGTAATGCATGTTTGTGTGGTAAACAAACTCGTGATATTTTCAATAATAATACAACTAGATCAGTTGAACCATTTGAGTTAATTCATTGCGATATTTGGGGCCCTTACAGAACACTTGTATCGTGCAGTGCACGATATTTTTTGGTGAAATTCACAAGAATAATTCATACTTTTAACAAGTATATTTTTTAACCATAATGGTTGATTACTCCAAGGCAATTTGGGTACATTTGATATGTCAAAAGGGCGAAGTGCAAAATGTCTTGAAATAATTTTTGCCATGACTAGCAGACAATTTAATAAGCAAGTCAAAATTGTTAGAAGTGTGACATTAAGATGGAATTTCAAGAAATAAAAGAATATTTTAAAGAGCATGTCATAATGTTTCAAACATCTTGTTTATATACCCCTTAACAAAAAGGACAGGTAGAACGAAAACATTGGCATATTCTCAATACGGCACACACACTTTGATTTCATGCACATTTACCGAATGTGTGTTGACGGCCGGATATCTTATAAATAGATTACCGTCTCCACTTTTGGATAATAAAAGTACATATGAATTATTATACCAAAATCTACCTAGTTATGACCGATTACGAGTTTTTGGATGATTGTGTTATGCTCATAACAAGGATCGTGGTGGAGACAAATTTGCCCCATGAGGTGTTCCATGTGTATTTTTGGGATATGATTATTCACAAAAGGGCTAGAAAGTGTTTGATTTGGGAAATAAACGTCATGTTATTTCACGTGACATTCGTTTTGTTGAAACAATTTTCCCGTATAAAGATATATCCAAAGGATGTGTTTCACGGGAGGTCGGGCAAGATGCTGAATTGCATATTGTCTGTAAAACTCTCTCTTCTCGCACAGAAACCACTCAATAATAAAACTAGACTTCAAGGGCTATCCACTGACACCTTAACCACCCCATTTAGGTGAGTATAACTCCAATTATGGAGGGAGACAACCAGCACACTCATTTTGTGCGGAAATAGACTAGGTGGCCCCAAATTTGATGTCGGTTGTGTCTTGTGCAGCTCCTCTCTATTTTTTCCGGCCAAGGTAAGTATCCTTACTTATTTTATATGTCTTGCAGGTACTCAAGTCATGTGGAATGATTCCCAATTGATGCTAATAAATTTGGGGTCCAAATATCTACCAATACTTCCAAAAATGGAAAGATGAGTCCTATTGTTATATCTTTTGTCAAGAGATGTCTTTTTGTACTCATTCTAATTTATTTAGAACAAGTCAACCTTCTACATCATAATATTTATCTCCAATATTTGTAGGATCATCCCAATAATTTATTTGATGAAAATTATAGAAGAATACTCCCATTATTTAGCTCAATAATGTCAAAGATGGGACCATAGGTATTTGTATTCTTCCCTAATCATCCTCTACCTTATTTATGACATTAGTATTTATATTCTTGGGCTACAAGCCGTGTGGGTCACCCTCGAGTCGGCCTAGGACGTCATTCTTGAATACTTACTATTTTTAGCAGGTTGGGCCCAAAAATAATACTTGAGCTGCCCGACCTTCCTTAGTTTGTATCGAACGGTTATTTATAATTATTTACATAATTTTGGGCTCTTATATATAATAAGATGACCCAATTAAGTTATTGAAAGTCTGTCGCTAATATACGAGCTCAAACAGTAAAATGGTCAATCATTCATTACGTAAAACATTAATCGTTTGACAATAGGAAATTCAATACATAAACTTTGAATTTTAAATTGAATTTCAATGATGTTTGGGTGCGATGTCACACACTGGAATTCCACCCGCAAGATGTCGGGTTACCGTAAAACAGTCACCGGCTCTGCTGGAAAGCCACCACTAAATCCCCGGGGGGCATTTAGTTCGCAAAATATTGG